TCTCCTCAGACAGCCAGCCCCTCTCCAAGATGTGAGACAGCAATCTCTCCCTGCTGTGCTACCTGAAGATCTTTTAACTGGAGGTGCCAGTGGTTTGAACTTGTGACCTCATACATGGGAAGCATGTGCCCTGTTGCTGAAGCATGGCTCTCTACTAATCTGTTCTGGGGCAACTGCAAGCTGTTATGTCTCCATTTGAGGAGGCTGGTTCTCAGTACATTTTTAATCTGTTTTCCAACATGGCTCGCAAGACCCACAGAGCACAGTAAGGTGTTTTGTTAAGTGTAGCCTCTGGTGGTTAGGCGTCCAGTGCGTATCTGCTCAAAAAAATAAATTTTAAATATGCCACTTTGAAAGATTAGCAACATTACAGATGGTCAGAATGAAACAGCTAAAAGGCCTTCGAATCCTGCAAAACCTGGCACTGCATCTTCTAGAACTGCCTTTGGAAAACACTCTTTATTTTTGTCCCAAAAGTTGGGAGTTCAGAACCATGTGCAGCTTCATCAGATCAAAGGCCTATCGGGTCTAGAACTCTTGTCTTCAAAAGGGGCCAGCCAGATGTTTCTGGGATATTTGTCCCAGCTACCCTGAGAACACCTGATATGTTGAAACCATGATCTTGAAACAGACGCTCATTTGCTGTGTGATGGAGCCTAATGCGTGTATGGCTCCTCTACCCAATCAGGAACCCCAGCTGGTCAGGATTCCTGATTGGTTAGAGCAGCCCTAATATGCACAGCTGTACGGTCCTTTGTCCCTAATGCCAAATGTGTTTCCAGTGGGGTACCTGGCCAGTGGATGTGTTCGCATGGGAGGGCATGTTCCCATTACCCTCTGATGTGTTCAGTGAACGCATGTAGGAAATCATATAAACACATGCATTACAAATTTGTAAAGTTTTTTTTTTTATGTAACCAAAACAAATACCTTTAAAATAACCTGCCTTTGTTGCAATTTAATCTTGAATATATTAAAAAAGGGGGTGTCTTTAAATCTAGAGAATTTTTATTGCCTTCCTTCCAACCCCTAACATTTCAAAATAACATTTCTTATCTTGTAGAGCTGCCAAGGACATGCTCTTAACAATCAGTGCTCCATATCTGGAGGGGCAAGCTAGAAAGTCAAGTCTTCAAGCAGATATGCCAAACTTGAGCATACATGGGAAACCACTGTTAAGATCTTGCGAAGGGAACTGAAATGACTATCTGGGCTCTGCCTTAGAAAGGATCAAGCCCCTTCCAATTCAGGGAAAATTTAAGCATGCTCTGACCTGCATCATTTAGTCTATTTGGGCTAAGAGGGGCAAGAAGCTACGATACACGTGAATTTTCAGAATTGCTGGTTTTTCATGGAGTTTTAATGAGACGTTTTACATTTAAGATTACTTTGCCATCGTAAGTCTTCAGGATGGGCCAAGCAGTATATTTAAACAAGATTAGTGTGAACTGGCTGTGTTCTTTTAAATATTTGTGTGTCATTAGCAGATGCCGCCCCCCATGAAATCTCACGCCTTGCTTGAAAGACTGTGACAGGGAGGGCTTCTGGCTGTCCTTACTGCTGGGGAAGTACCGTATTTTTCGCTCTATAACACGCACCCGACCATAACACGCACGTAGTTTTTAGAGGAGGAAAATCCGCAGGCATGCCACCCGTAGGCATTCCCTCCATAACACGCACAGACATTTCCCCTTACTTTCTAGGAGGAAAAAAGTGAGTGTTATGGTGCAAAAAATACGGTATGTAGGGAGCAGTCTGTCTCCCGCTCTGGCCTTTGGTTGGAGTAACTCTACAGTATTGAATAAACACTGCTGCCAGCTAGAGATTGGCTTGCAATGTCCTGTGTACCTAACTGCAGAGCTGGCAGATTTCATCCTCTTCCTACCTGCTGTTGGAGTTAATGGACTTTTTGGCACGACCCCTTTAGCCCATCTGTTCAGATGTCCTATAACTGAGCTCTTGCCTGGAAGACCTGGGGCCTCGAGGTGATGGAAGAAAGGGGCTCTGACATCTCAGGGAGGTTGTGCAATGGTTTGTCTTTACCTGCTAGGGAGTGCTGCTTACGTTCCCTGCTCACACCATCTACCAGGGGGCACGTGGGCGCTGCCCTGTGGCCTCAAGAGACCCCAGTGGAAACAGTACTGGTTGCATTATCACAGGGGCTGCAAGTTTTAAAGGGATTGACCAGTTTTTCGTGGGGAGGTTCCCTCCTCCCTTTTGAAAACCTATTTAAACAAAGCAACAAATATTCAAGCATCTTGAAATCCTTTCTTTGCCCTGTGGGAAAAGCAATAGCTGTAACGATAACTGGAGCCGCCTGGAAGCAGAAAGGTGGTGCAAAATTGGGAGAACCTTAAAGTTTCCTTTTTTATTGAAAAGCATCTTGCTAGTTCTCATGTGTGAGGCTGCTGTACTGCAAATGTACAGAAGATTCAAACATGTAGGTGGGGGCGTGGAGTGCTTGCTACTCCTAGCTGCCAGTGCCCACTGACTTCAAACTTTTATTGCTCTTTGCAGTTCTATGCATCCCTGTGGGCTAAAAAATTCTCTTCAATGGAAATTGGGTTTAAGTGCCAGATTCTGTTTAGCCAACAGAGGAGGTACAGCTGTGCAAAGAACAATATAGTAATACACACATCTCTTCTGCCAGTCTAAATAATAATAATAATAATAATAATAATAATAATTTATTATTTGTACCCTGCCCATCTGGCTGAGTTTCCCCAACCACTCTGGGCCGGCTCCCAGTCAAGTGTTAAAAACAATACAGCATTAAATATTAAAAACTTCCCTAAACAGGGCTGCCTTCAGATGTATTTTAAAGATAGGATAGCTGCTTATTTCCTTCACATCTGGTGGGAGGGCGTTCCACAGGGCGGGTGCCATTACCGAGAAGGCCCTCTGTCTGGTTCCCTGTAACCTCACTTCTTGCAATGAGGGAACCGCCAGAAGGCCCTCGGCGCTGGATCTCAGTGTCCTGGCTGAACGATGGGGGTGGACACGCTCCTTCAGGTATACAGGACCGAGGCCGTTTAGGGCTTTAAAGGTCAGCACCAACACTTTGAATTGTGCTCGGAAACGTACTGGGAGCCAATGCAGATCTCTCAGGACCGGTGTTACATGGTCCCGGCGGCCACTCCCAGTCACCAGTCTACCTGCCGCATTCTGGATTAATTGCAGTTTCCGGGTCACCTTCAAAGGTAGCCCCACATAGAGCGCATAGCAGTAGTCCAAGCAAGAGATAACTAGAGCATGCACCACTCTGGCGAGACAGTCTGTGGGCAGATAGGGTCTCAGCCTGCGTACCAGATGGAACTGGTAGACAGCTGCCCTGGACACAGAATTAACCTGCTGAATTAGAGCTGAAGGAGACTGTCCACATGAGCCTAGCTGAAGAATGGGCTGCCTTTGTTTGCACTGTAGCAGATCAGATCTCTAAAGCAAAGCTGGTGTAGCAATGGCGCATGGGGGCCTTGGATTAGCGGGCAGTGGAAAGAAATTTCCCAGCATGCCACTCTTAGCACCACAGCAGGTGGAACAGCAGGCATACGGCAGGGGCTTCTGGAGGCTATCTGCTGCCTTACAACATCTCATGTCCCTAGTCAATCTGCTTTAGCACCATCAGTGGCAGCACCTCTCAAATGTGGCTCTAGCATGCTCAGGCTTCTGTTTTGCCACAGGCTGCTGTGTTAGGCTTGTGCAGCATCATGCAAAGCCTACTCCTGGTTGCACTGAAGGCAAGGAAGGGCAGGCAACCCCTGCCCCCTTGTGGGCAGAAAGGGAATTAGCACCAGGGCAATGCTGCTGTCAAAACGGGCAGGTCTTTCGAACCGGAGCATGCATTGCGGTTAAAATGCCGGACTTGGTTTCCATTCTGCAGCTCGCGTCTGGGGAAGGCGAACAGGTGTGTAAGGGGAGAGGGCTTTTGACGATGGGAGAGAGCGACTCACAGCCAGCACCCCCCCATAGAAGGAAATCAGATGGCCAAGCAGGGACACCCCCTGTTAACATGTCACAAATCAAGCCAGGTGTATTTTGCAAGCACTGTTATCTGTTTCGCTGCTGTTCTGGTAAGGATTGTGAGCAAGGATCCGGCAGGAGGCAGAATGTGCACTGGAGGGGGGACCCCCCCATATGCAAATAAGCTGGGCAGGGGGTGTCACAAAAGCCACAGCTCATAGTGCTAGTGAGCAGAGGAAGACATTTTTTAGCCAGTTCAGCTTCGTTTCAGGAACTCGTCTCTTTCCCAGTAGTCTCGGCTTAGTTGCCCCCCCACTTCCGCCACCCAGGCTGCTTTGTCAAAATGGCAGAGGGTGGGTGGAAATGTGCTGGTCCCAAAATCTGTGGCTGAGAAACCCTGCCTTAGTTTATCTTTTTGCACCAGGAACGGGGTTTTCCCCTTTCTCTTTTTTTAAAAACCCTTTCGCGTCCACCCCTGCGCTAAGCTCTCACACCCTTGGTGATTTTAACCAAACACAAATAAACGACAAACGTTAAAGGAGAGGGACATATTTCTCCAAACCAGGACCTTCACCTGAGAAACCAAGAGGAAAGGGGATTCTTCCTCGCCGGGGTACGCTCAACAGACTCCCCTTCCCCCTTTTTAAGCGTTAAAAGGCTTTCGCCAGAATCGAGCGTTGGGATCAGAAATCCCAATTCCTGCCTTGTCCGTCCGTGCGCACGATCTCTCTATCTCTCGCTTCCCTCCCCGCTCCCCCCCCTCGTTACACAGACCCATCTGACAGAGACACGTGTTAAGTGCAAATGTAAACATTTCTCGTTATAAATTAAAAAATAAATAAATTACTTGAAAAGTGCAGTGCATGTTGGTGCCAGCAGGGGAGAAATAGAGCAGGTTTCCCCCCCATTCCACCATTGGAATGGGCCACATCAAGTGTGTGTGTGTGTGTGTGTGTGTGTGTGTGTGTGTGTGTCCGTCCGTGTGTGTGTGTACACATATATACAGTATGGGAGGGAGGGAGGAAGGAAGGAAGGACTGTTGGAAGAGAAGAGGGCTTGTTGCGCTCAGGCTTTGGTTGTTACTTTTGGGGAGGGCTATATTGGGGGCAAGGGGAAGGAAAACAACTTATTCCAAAGCTCTGGGTAGGGGGAGGTTTCCGTGCTGACTGCGGCCCAAACATGCATTGAGTCCAGATCAGAAACAGTCTGGCACCTGCAATGTGCCTGGTCCAGCTAAGATGTTTGAGCCTTGCCAGTGCGCCGAGAGCTCCTTGCCGCTTCCTTTGGTAGAAGAACGCACCATTCCCCAGCCCGGGTCTTCTCTCTCTGCCCCACGGGCCCATCGCTGACTCCCTGGGCCTGGTTAGAGCTCGTTGGTCCTCAGCCGGGGCCCACAATGTCCAAGACTCATGAGGCAGCAGAACAGAAGGGATCGACTCTGCTCTCTGCGTGTATCGAAGGCCTCTCCTGCTTAGTTGCGGGGCTGACGGCTGCAGGGTTTGCGTGTCCGTTTGTTCCACGTCTCCAGCTGCCCCAAGTGAAAACTGCAAGCCCTGGTGGCAGGGAAGGGGCCCTCGACCCCACAACCAGTCCAGAAGAAGGCAGGGACGGGACGCAGGGATGAGGCGCACTGGCTCTCCTTCCAGAGATTATGAGATATATAGATTTATATAGAGCTTTTATAGATTATTTATATAAATATCTGGGGAGGTGGTCGTGGTGAAGGGAAGGGCCAGGGGTCTGTACAACCTGGGGAAGGAAAAGCCAAACGGGTGCAATCACAAACTGGGCATGTCCTGAAGTCTCTGCATCTCCCCGCTGCCTGAATGGTCCAGTTCGGCACTGTCGCAGTCCGAATCCTCGTAGGCAGCAGCGTCCTGGAATGAGAGGGAGAGTGTGAGGAAATCGGGGCATGTGGAGAAATAATACCCAATAATATAATAATAATAATAATTTATTATTTATACCCAGCCCACCAGGCTGGGTTTCCCCAGCCCCTCTGGGTGGCTCCCAACAAAATACTAAAAACACAATAAAACATCAAACATAAAAAACTTCCCTATACAGGGCTGCCTTCAGAGGTCTTCTAAAAGGCAGATACAGTGGTACCTCTGGATACAAATGCTTCTGGTTACGAACGCTTCAAGTTACGAGCTCTGCTAGCCCGGAGGTACCTTCTCTTGGTTGCGAACTTTGCCCAGGATGCGAACGGAAATCGTTCGCAGCAGGAGGCCCCATTAGCAAAAGCACGCCTCAGGATAAGAATGGTTTCAGCTTAAGAACGGCCTCCGGAACGAATTAAGTTCGTAACCAGAGGTACCATTGTAGTTGTTTATTTCCTTGGCATCTGAAGGGAGGGCGTTCCACAGGGCGGGTGCCACTACCAAGAAGGCCCTGTGGTTCCCTGTAACTTCGCTTCTTGCAGTGAGGGAACCGCCAGAAGGCCCTCGGTGCTGGACCTCAGTGTCCGGGCTGAACGATGGGGGTGGAGATGCTCCTTCAGGTATACTGGACCAAGGCCGTTTAGGGCTTTAAAGGTCAGCACCAACACTTTGAATTGTGCTCAGAAATGTACTGGGAGCCAATGTAGGTCTTTCAAGACCGGTGTTATATGGTGACCACTCCCACTCACCAGTCCAGCTGCCACATTCTGGATTAATTGTAGTTTCCAAGTCACCTTCAAAGGTAGCCCCATGTAGAGCGCAGTGCAGTCCAAGTGGGAGATAACTAGAGCATGCACCACTCTGGCGAGACAGTCCGCAGGCAGGTAGGGTCTCAGCTTGCATACCAGGTGGAGCTGGTAGACAGCTGCCCTGGACACGGAATTGACCTGCGCCTCCATGGACAGCTGTGAACCCAAAATGACTCCCAGTCTGCGCACCTGGTCCTTCAGGGGCACGGTTACCCCATTCAGGACCAGAGAGTCCTCCACACCCGCCCGCCCCCTGTTCCCCCAAAACAGTACTTCTGCCTTATCAGGATTCAACCTCAAACTGTTTGCCGCCATCCACCCTCCAACCACCTCCAGACACTCACACAGGACCTTCAATGCCTTCACTGGTTCTGATTTAAAAGAGAGGTAGAGCTGGGTATCATCTGCATACTGATGAACACCCGGCATGAGGCCACCTGTGGCCCTGAATCGGGCTGCAAGGAAGAAGCTTTAACCAATGCTCTGCTGGATCAGGCCAGTCCCTCACCTAGTCCAGCATCCTGTTCTTACAGTGGCCAACCAGATGTTTGAGGAAAGAACGCAAGCAGGACATCATTGCAACAACACTCCCCTCAATCTGATATTTAGAAGCATACCGCCTCTTGACGGTAGAGACAGAGCATAGCGGTCATGACTAGTAGCCACTGATAGACTTATCCTCCTTGAATGCATTTAATCCTCTTTCAAAATAGCCATCGTTGCCCCTTGTGGACATGAGTTCCACAGCTTAACTATGCCCTGCATGAAGAAGTTTTTGTCTGTCCTGAATCTCCCGACATTCAGCTTCACCGGATGTTTAAACATTGCTGTGAGAGAGGGAGGAAACCTTTTCCTGCCCACTTCCATCATACCAGTGCATACTCATCATTAAAGCTGGGATGGGGGACCTGGGACCTTCCAGATGCGACTGGACCACGGCTCCCACTGTCCCAGGGCTGATGTGATTTGCAGCCCAGCAACCTCGATGCGGGTGGCGCTGTGGGTTAAACCACAGAGCCTAGGGCTTGCCGATCAGAAGGTCAGCGGTTCGATTCCCCATGACGGAGTGAGCTTCCGTTGCTCGGTCCCTGCTCCTGCCAACCTAGCAGTTCAAAAGCACGTCAAAGTGCAAGTAGATAAATAGGTATCACTCTGGTGGGAAGGTAAATGGCGTTTCTGTGCGCTGCTCTGGTTCGCCAGAAGCGGCTTAAGTCATGCTGACCACATGACCCGGAAGCTGTACGCCGGCTCCCTCGGCCAATAAAGCGAGATGAGCGCTGCAACCCCAGAGTCAGCCACAACTGGACCTAATGGTCAGGGGTCCCTTTACCTTTACCTTTAACTTTGAGAGGGAAGCAGGATACTTTAAAGCAAATATTCCACACCCAGAAAAATGAAAAAGCTAATCTTGCATGTGAGCCACATTTAGGTTCCTTCTGCTAGGCGCAGGGAAGGGCAAAGGGTTTGTCAGGGAGAGGGGTTGAACGCTGGCAATCTCACTCGGTTCTCTTTCTGGCTTGGGAACTTTTTCCAAAAAGGAGGCCCTCCTATGCAGCTTGAAATTTAATGATGTAAAAATAAAATAGTGAGCCAATCCACTCACAAGGCTGAATTCTGCCCGCTTCCACGTTTGCTGACGGTGCAGTCTTATGCACATTAACAACAGACCAGAAGCCACCAAAACCAGTAGGTGCTGGAACAGGCAATGGCCTTCAGGGCTGCAGGTAACCTACATTTTGGGCTTTCCTGCACCAGTAAAAGTGACCTCGCAGCCTTCTCAAAGCTCCTGCATCGCCCAGGTTCACCACCAGGGGGAAACCCACAGGAAAAACAAAGTCCCAGCAGCTGAAATGGATGCCAGCACCCTCCCATTCTCGCACTGCACCCACCTCTCCAGGGTTCTGCTCAGCACTGAGCTGGCGTTTGACAAGCTGGATGGCCGCCTCCTTTTCGGACAGCCCGTCCGAGTGCCCCAGGATGTCGTCATCCGAGCGCTCGGCATCCAGGCGTTCGTCTGTGTTGGTGCTGGCCACATCTGGCGTGCCGCCGCTGTGGGATGCTGTGGTGCCCTCGCTGGCAGTGCCCTCCTCGCCGTCCCCATCGGAGAAGTTCTCGGAGCTGAAAGTGGAGAGCGACTGCCGCTTGCTCATCGCTTGAGGCCACCTGGGTCAGGAGAGAGAGAGAGAAAATATGAAGCCCTCTGGCAACACGGGGGTGCCAGGCTAGTCAACCTCACTGGCCTCCAACTCAGCCACTGTGGCCAGGGCCAGAGTTAGGTTTGATGAGGCCCTGAGCTACTGAAGGTAATGTGGCCCTTTATATGTCCAGCCGTCCTTTGTCAACTACAAATTGTCGCTTTTTTGTGTGTTGAATATATGCCATACAGTCATACCTCGGGTTACAGACGCTTCAAGTTGCGCGATTTCGGGCTGTGCACCGCGCCGAACCTGGAAGTACCGGAATGGGTTGCTTCTGGGTTTCGGTGCTTGCACAAAGCGCTAAATTGCGCTTTGTGCATGCGCAGAAGTGCAGAATCGCGACCCGCGCATGTGCAGCGCTGCAGGTTGTGGACGCTGCGGGTTGCGAACGTGTTTCCTGCACGGATCAAGGTTCGCAACCCGAGCGCCCACTGTCTGATAATTTATGGACCCAAAAGGTATCTCAAGCCATTTGCACATAACAAATAGGAGCCTACACAACACAAAACAACATTGCTGTATGTAGGTTTTGGGTTTTTTTTAAATCTTATATTTTGGAAATGGACATCCAGGTTTTTTTTCCTTTAAAAATTTTTGGGGCCCCCAAGAGAGTGGGGCCCTAAGTTATAGCTTGTTTAGCTTATACGTAAATCCGGCACTGACCGTGGCCCATGGTTAGAGATGGGAGCTGGGGTCCCACAAAATGTGGAGGGTACCATGTTGGCTACATCCCTGAGCTATGGGATGGCTACACCCAGGGAATGTGTGTCTGCATTAAGGAATGGTTTCCTGGTTGTCTAAGCGGTTTGCCCGTTGAACAGACTGCCTTGGAAGATGCAGGTCATCCGATTTTAAAACGGACTAATGAGTATTATACATAGGTAAAAGAGGATTTCCCCTACAGTATTCAACTTTTTTGAGGAAAGGTTATAATCGTGTATAAAAGTCAGAATAGAAATTGGTACAGTGGCACCTCATGTTACGTACTTAATCCGTTCCGGAGGTCTGTTCGTAACAGGAAACCGCTCGTAACGTGAGGTGCGCTTTCGCTAATGGCGCCTCCCGCTGCTGCCACACTGCCAGAGCGCAACTTCTGCTCGCAACCTGGGGCAAAGTTCGCAACAAGGGGCATCTACTTCTGGGTTAGCGGAGCGCGTAACCCGCAGCGTTCGTAAGGGGGACGGTACGTAACACGAGGTACCACTGTACTTGTTCGTGCAATGTGAAGGGAGATGGGATGAGTGGATTTTGAAATGAAAATTGGAAAAGATATTGTACTTGGGACAGCAACGAGGGGAGGAAATGAATCGATTTATAGTGGTACCTCAGTTTTTGAATGTAACCTGTTCTGGAAGACCATTCGACTTCTGAAACGTTTGAAAACTGAAGTATTAATTTCCGAAAGCATTTACATCCGGAAAACTCAATACAGAAGCTGTGTGGCATGTTTGGCTTTCGAAAAGCTTTCGAAAACCGACACAGTTCTGGGTTTTCGGCATTCGAAAGTTGAAATTTCGACGTCTGAGACGTTTGAAAACCGAGGTACCACTGTATTTCAGTCACTGACCAGAGTGCCAGAGGGAGGAAAAAAGAAAGAACATACGGAGGTGGAAAGTCAGCTTTTAAATTTGTATTTTTGTGGCTGGATGGTTACGTGGGAGCCGGCTGAAGCTAAATCCTTCGAAGACAGAGGTCCTCTGGCTGGGACGGGACGATATGGGATTGGGGGGGCAACTCCCATCTCTTGCGGGGGCGCAATTAGTGCCAGCACCGTCCGTTAAGAGTTTGGGTGTAATCTTCGACACCTCCCTTTCCATGGAGGCGCAGATTGCAGCTACAACAAAGGCGGCATTTTCCATCTCCGCCAAGCTAAGCAGTTGGCTCCTTACCTCTCTCACCCTGACCTAGCCACTGTGATCCACGCGACGGTCACCTCCAGACTGGATTATTGTAACTCGCTCTACGTGGGGCTGCCCTTGAGACTGACCCAGAAACTCCAGCGGGTGCAGAATGCTGCAGCGAGACTCCTTACGGGGTCTTCGCTGCGAGATCACATTCACCCGGTGCTATACCAGCTGCACTGGCTCCCGGTGGAGTACAGGATCAGGTTTAAGGTGCTGGTTTTAACCTTTAAAGCCCTATACGGCCTAGGACCCTCGTACCTACGGGACCGCCTCTCCTGGTATGCCCCACAGAGAAACTTACGGTCTTCAAATAAAAACATCTTGAAGGTCCCAGGCCACAGAGAAGTTAGGCTGGCCTCAACTAGAGCCAAGGCTTTTTGGCTGTGGCTCCGATCTGGTGGAACACTCTGTCACAAGAGACCAGGGCCCTGCGGGACTTGACATCTTTCCGCAGAGCTGTTCCACCAGGCCTTTGGTCAGGGCACAGCCTGACTCCCTCCCTCGGCAATCGTCGCGGAGCTCTGGCCCAATGGTTGCCAGTGGCTTGAATTAATTAATTTTATAATGAATGATTTTAGAGTGTTGTTTGTGCTGTACTTTTGTACTGTTTTATTGTTGTTAGCCGCCCTGAGCCCGGCTTCGGCTGGGGAGGGCGGGATATAAATAAAATTTATTATTTATTATTATTATTATTAATTTGTTTTTTTAAAAAGAGGAAGGAAGGTGCAGGCCATCCATCAAAGCATTTTTCAGCAGATGCTGAACGGCCACTTCACCTATCAAGAACAATTCTCTCCAGCAGGGAACAGGCCCTCACAACCGGTGCACAACTGACAGATGATTTCAGCTGAGGGTTGGGGAAGAATGGCCTTGTGGGTCAAACTCAATGCCTTGGCTGGCTTGTTTCCTCGGTTGTTGCGTTGCAGGGGGTTGGACCAGATGACCCTTAGGGTCCCTTCCAACTCCACAACTTTATGATTTTAAGACTGGCTCCTGGGCCAGAGGTTACCCCACCCCTGAGGTGCTCTAATGACACAAAATAAACAAACAACAGGAGCCTGCCAGATGAGTCCAAAGCCAGTTGTGTGAAGACATTTCTTTCACCTGTTCTGACTCCTCCAGCTTCATAGTAATGTCTGATCTACTGTTGCACAGAGATTGATTCTATTGTGTGTGGGGGGGGGACTCGGGGCTAACCACCCCCATCTTCCACCAGTCGTACTGGGCTAACCCAGGCAAACACTCACCTTTGTCGGAGAGGGAGCTCGACTTCGCTGTCTACCTCGCCTTCTTCCTCCTCCGAGGAGACTCCGCGCTTCTGAGCCGAGAAGGAGGAAAGAAAAAAAAGGAACTATGTCATGGCTAAAATGAGACTGGAGTAAAGAAAACCCACCAACCTCCAAGATTCTTAAAAAAACATATTCCACCATTTTCAGTGCTATTGCGGCAGCTAGACTGGTGACTGGGAGTGGCCGCCGGGACCACATAACACCGGTCCTGAGAGATCTGCATTGGCTCCCAGTACGTTTCTGAGCACAATTCAAAGTGTTGGTGCTGACCTTTAAAGCCCTAAAGGGCCTTGGCCCAGTAGACCTGAAGGAGCGTGTCCACCCCCATCGTTCTGCCTGGATGCTGAGGTCCAGCGCTGAGGGCCTTCTGGCGGTTCCCTCATTGCAAGAAGTGAGGTTACAGGGAACCAGACAGAGGGCCTTCTCGGTAGTGGCGCCCACCCTGTGGAATGCCCTCCCTTCAGATGTGAAGGAAATAAGCAGCTATCCTATCTTTAAAAGACATCTGAAGGCAGCCCTGTTTAGGGACCTTTTTAATGTTTAGTGCTGTACGGTTTTTAACATTTGATTGGGAGCCGCCCAGAGTGGCTGGGGAAACTCAGTCAGATGGGTGGGGTATAAATTAATAATAATAATAATAATAATAATAATAATAATAATAATAGGATTTTGGGGCCGTGCTCCAAACAGACATGCATGTGGCACTCAGAAACAGATTTTTAATAGCTGGCTGGCAGTGTTTCAAACCTCTCACCTGTGCATAGCTGTCAACGGTTCCCTTTTTTAAAGGGAAATTCCCTTATTCCAAATAGGATTCCTCGCAAGAAAAGGGAAAAGTTGACAGCTATGTACCTGTGCTTCACAGCCACAGCTCCAGCTGAGGGCAGGGCAATCGCAATGCACACAGCACCTACTTAAACGTGCGACTTCCCAGACACGTTGATAAAAGATGTGCAAAAGTCACCTATGGTGGCCGTATGGATGGAGAAGGGCTGAATTGAGCAAACAACCCTGTTGCCCGAAATGAATCAACAAGCCTTTTTTAGGGGAAAAGCATCCCCTTCTGTTAGGATTTCATTCTCCCGTTGCTTGGATCATGTGATCCTTATTTACAGTCCACACTGCTGGGACTGTAACGGAAACAGATACAGAACCCTCAAAATAGCCTGACATTTTGTTTCTGCTCTAGTACACCTGCTTGCCTTAAATCAGAGATGCGGACCCCTGTGGTCGTCCAGATTGTTGCTGGACTCTTAGAAGGTAAAGGTAAAGGGACCCCTGACCATTAGGTCCAGTCATGACCGACTCTGGAGTTGCGGCGCTCATCTCACTTTACTGGCCGAGGGAGCCGGCGTCATGTGGCCAGCATGACTAAGCCGCTTCTGGCGAACCAGAGCAACACACAGAAACGGTGTTTACCTTCCCACCAGAGCAGTACCTATTTATCTACTTGCACTTTGACGCGCTTTCAAACTGCTAGGTTGGCAGGAGCTTTGACCGAACAACGGGAGCTCACCCCGTCGCGGAGATTCGAACTGCCAACCTTCTGATTGGCAAGTCCTAGGCTCTGTGGTTTAACCCACAGCGCCACCCTTCCCATCAACTCTGCCCACCCACTAGGATGGCCGAGTCTGACGGGAGCCAAATGCATAATCAAAAGAGGGCACTGTGGCGTTTGCCCTCCTAGGTGTGTGACATCATACTGGGTTCATAAGGAAAGGGTTAACTAATTGTAAAATGACTAACCTATAGGAAACCAAGGGGAGGAGTTAGAGTTAGAGTTATTAAGAAGTCAGTCTGAAGTCTGGAGTTGGAGAAGAGAGAGGGGGGGATAAGTCAGTGGGTAGGGCTAGTCTGATGTGAGAGAGGGAAAGAATCTGTTAAGAGGAGTCAGTCAAACAGCTGAGATAATCAGTCAGAAGGTATTAGGAAGGTATAGGCCGGTAAAGAAACTAAGGTTAAGAAACTGACAAGAAAATTATCTGAGAAACCTTGTTAATAAACTTTTTTTTTTTATTAACCTTGTTTATTTATTTATTTATTATTATTTATTATTTATAATTATTTATATATAGAGTGTGTGTATATATTATTTATTTATTAACCTTGTTAATAAACTTGTTAATGCTTATAAAATACAGTGGTGCCTCGCAAGACGAAATTAATCCGTTCTGCGGTTTTTTCGTCTTGCGAAGCAACCCTATTAGCGGCTTAGCGGATTAGCGCTATTAGCGGTTTAGCGGCTATTAAAGGCTTATCGTCTTATCGGCTTAGCTGCTAAAAGGCTATTAGCGGCTTAGCGGCTTAGAAAAAGGGGGGGGGAAGCGAAAAAATATCTCAAGACTCGCAAGACATTTTCGTCTTGCGAAGCAAGCCCATAGGGAAATTCGTCCTGCGAAGCAACTCCAAAACGGAAAACCCTTTCGTCTAGCGGGTTTTCCGTCTTGCGAGGCATTCGTCTTGCGGGGCACCACTGTAAACTTGTTTATTTGGTTTAATTTTTACAACTGTCTGGACTCAGTGTGTACCCGAGAGAAACGGGTTGGTAGCAGCGGGGAAGCGAGCACAGTGGTGGCACAGGGATCAATAGACCGCCAAACGTCCGGGAATCCTGTGTGATCGCCACAGGCACCAATCTGTATAAAAATTTGTGCGTGCTAATCTACAGACGAAGAAGCAAATTTGGACATAATTTCAGTGGAATAATATCTCAACGCTGTGGGGAAGAATCTGACCTGTGGGCCTGTCCAGGTGCGGATCCTTGATGGGCAGCTTCAAGCCCCCTATTTGTAGGGTTCTTCATCATTAACACGGACTTGGGATGGGGCGGTCCTTCAAAAAGAGGAGCCTGGAGAGCAGGACACCTGGCCACCCTACTTCTCCATTCAGTTCAGTCCAACAATACCTGGAGAGCCATTTGCACTTGGCATAAACAGCTTGGGTCTGGATCAGGGATAAGCAACCTAAGGCCCATGGGCTGGATCGCCTTCTCAATCCGGCCCACGGACGGTCCGGGAATCAGCGTGTTTTTACATGAGTAGAATGTGTCCTTTTATTTAAAATGCATCTGTGGGTTATTTGTGGGGCCTGCCTGGTGTTTTTACATGAGTAGAATGTGCTTTTATTTAAAATGCATCTCTGGGTATTTGTGGGGCATAGGAATTCGTTCATTCCCCCCCCCCAATACAGTCCGGCCCACCACATGGTCTGAGGGACGGTGGACCGGCCCACGGCTGACCCCTTGTCTCAATGGTCTCAGGGTCTTTTCCCATGTGAATTTTCACAAGATTTGAGACCAGTATGCACATCTTTCACAAGAAACAAGGCCTGCTTTGCAAGGGCTCCAGGACTCTGGATTTACCCTCCCCTGGGATGTTCATTTGCTCACTTCATATATATTGTTTTGGAGGCAGGAAAAGACATTTCTCTTTCACTGTGTCATTGGGAACTTAGCCCTTTCTGCTCTCATACATGTTCAGAAACCAGGGGTTGTCAACCTGGTCGCTACCACCCACTAGTGGGCGTTTCAGGATTCTAGGTGGGCAGTAGAGGGTTCTACGGCACAAGCTGAATCCTCCTTCCATCGAACACTGGTGGGTGGTGAGGAAATTTTACCATCAAGAAAGATGCATTAGTAGGCAGTAGGTATAAAAAGGTTGACTACCCCTGAGAAAGACGAATGAAACAGAAGAGGGAGGGGAGGGGAGAGGAGAGGGAGAGAGAAAGAGAGAAAGAGAGAGAGAGAGAGAGAGAAAGAAAGAAAGAAAGAAAGAAAGAAAGAGAAGAAGGAAGGGAGGAAGAAAAAGAAAGGAAGGAAGGAAGGAAGGAAGGAAGGAAGGAAGGAAGGAAGGAAGGGGGAGGAGAGTGTTAGAATTCCTGCTCCATGATTGCAGTCATGGGATTGTTGTCTTTCACATGACGGTATATGTTTTGACTCCACAGAGTGGGAAGTGACAGAGACAGGATGTTTGTGTTACTGTGTTCCGTGAAGTGGGACTATTGTTCTTTGTTTTCTCTCTTTGCTGTCTGATGCTAGAGAGAGATAGGGAGCCATGTTGCAGTGCTCCGTGTGTGTTTATATGTAAATAAAGTAGATTAGCCAAAATGCTGAGTTGCTGAGGTCTGTCACGTGAACTGCGCAGACTCTGCGGATCCCTAAGTGTGCCGATGTCTGTTGGCATCGGTCGCTGTGATGTTCGGGCTGAAGAAAGCTTTTGAAGCTCCCGAAAGATCGACCGGGAGGGAGAGAACATGCCAGTCGGGCATGTGTCTCTGCCAGGGTCCTACTCGAGTGTAGGATGAGCTCCTAACAGAGAGAAGGAAGGAAGGAAGGAAGAAAGAGAAAGAAAGAAGAGAAGGGGGAGGAGAGAAGGAAGGCAGGAAGGCAGGAAGGAAGGAAGGCAGGAAGGAAGGAAGGAAGGAAGGAAGGAAGGGTGCAAACTTAAATATTGGGCGGGGGGGTAAGCCCCACCCTGCAGAATTGATCACAAAATGCGCTGCATGCACACCATTTGAATGGAAATGCCCACCAATTTTGGGAGGGTCCTGGCCCCCTCACATATTTTATTGAGGGAGGGGGCAAAGAGACCTCAGCCCCTAGGAACTGGCTCCTATGGAGGGAAGGAAGAGCGCCCCCTGCCCGGCCCTACCTGACTCCGGGTGACGGCTGCCCGATACAACATGGCCGCTGGCGTGAGGTGCTGGGATTGCGGTGCGGCCGCTGCTCGGCTGCCCCTGCCCTGCTCCCGCTCGGCTTCCTCTCCCGGCTGCAGCCTGGCCTTCCCTGGGGGCCCCACGGCGCCTTGTCGCGAAGAGGGTGACTCGGGGCTGCTGGAGCAGGGGACGGAGGCCGTGTCTTCGCTGGGCGTCTCACTGCAGGGCTGCTCGGCTGGCGGGGATTCGGGGCCGGCCGCCCCCTTGCGGCCTTCGGCTCCCAGGGTGGTGGAGATGAGGTCGGGGCTGGAAGACGACATCTTGCGCAGCAGGAGGTCGTGCTGGAGCCCCCTGAGGGCCGCGCAGGGCTCTAGGCGTTTGGCTCCCCCCGGATCGGCCAGCTCCCCACAGCTGCCTCTGGTGCTGACCTTGCGGTAGCGCGACTTTGCCCGCCGGCTGCGCCCGGGGGACGGGGGCCCTTTCTGGCACACGGGGATAGCGAGCTGGGGCAGGGTGGGGTCCATGATCACCTCCGTCTTCAGAATGTCAGGCCTGTGGAAGAGAACAATTGTGGCATAATAATAATAATAATAATAATAATAATAATAATTTATTATTTATACAATACCCATCTGGCTGAGTTTCCCCAACCACTCTGGGCAGCTTCCAATCAAGTGTTAAAAACAGTACAGCATTAAATATTAAAAGCTTCCCTAAACAGGGCTGCCTTCAGATGTCTTTTAAAAAGAAGATAGCTGCTTATTTCCTTCACATCTGAAGGGAGGGCGTTCCACAGGGCGGGTGCCACTACCGAGAAGGCCCTCTGTCTGGTTCCCTGTAACCTCACTTCTCGCAATGAGGGAAGTACTGGGAGCCAATGCAGATCTCTCAGGACCGGTGTTATGTGGTCCCGGCAGCCATTCCCAGTCACCAGTCTAGCTGCCGCATTCTGGATTAATTGCAGTTTCCGGCTCACCTTCAAGGGTAGCCCCACGTAGAGCGCATTGCAGTAGTCCAAGTGGGAGATAACTAGAGCATGCACCACTCTGGCGAGACAGTCTGTGGGCAGGAAGGGTCTTAGCCTGCGTGCCAGATGGAGCTGTTGGACCACAGTTGTTTCAGTTTGACCTTTTACAGCGGCAATGGGGAACCTTGGCTTTGGGAGTCCAATTCTCCAGCCCTCTCTGTCTGACCCTCAGGGTTCTCTGCCGGCCATACCCCATGCTGGCCCTTCTTTCCATCTCCCTTGGACTCTGATAATGCTGCCTTGCCTGAATGGAGGATGGTGTGTGTGTCTGTGTGCATAATAACTTACCTCAAGGACCACCTCTCCCCATACAAACTGACCTGGACCCTGAGATCAACATCTGAGGCCCTTTATTGTGTGCCTCCTCCATGTGAGGTCCAGAGGGTGGCGAGGCCTTTTCCGTGGTGGCTCCCAGTTTGTGGAATGCTCTCCCCAGGGTGGCTCGCCTGGCACCTTCATTGCATATACAGTGGAACGTCGGCCGTCAAACATCTCTGTTGCCGCATGTTTCGGCTTTTGACGCCAAAAACCTGGAAGTAACTGCTTCAGTTTTTGAACAATTTTCGGAAGCTGAATGGGCCACATGGCTTCCGTTTTGAGTTTCCCTATTATATTGAGGCTTCCGCTTTCAGTTTTCGAACGTTGTGGAAGTCCAATGGTCTCCCGGAACAGATTATGTTCAAAAACCGAGGTTCCACTGTATTTAGATGCCCGGCAAAAACATTCCTCTTCAACCAGGCCTTTGGCTGATTATTATCCTACAACCTTTTAAAATGTGTCTGTGGGAAGGGGGGCGGTTATTGTTTTGCTGTTTTCTTTTACTTATTTTTATGTTTTTATCCTGTTTTGTACTCTGCGAACTGAAGGGTGATCTATAAATCTAATGCCCAACCATGGCATGTGGCCCCAGAAAGTTGCCTGGAAGGGAATCAGGCCTTTGGGGTGAAAAATTGTTCCCCATGCTGTCAGCATCCCCTGTTGGGTCTTGTTTTGTTGTTCCTGGTTTGCTTTATTGATTTTCATGCTCTTTTACTGTCACTGATGTCATATTCCTCCAATTATTTTTACTGATTTTATATGCTACCTTTCCTTTCGGGAAGGAAGACCATTTGCAAGCAAATAAAAGCCAGCAACAAAGGAACAAATAGAAAACCGATTATAAAAATATATAGCTACTCCTAATTAGAATACATAGTGAAACAGTTTCATCAAAACATCTGCAATTTTAAGCTGTATTTTAAGTCGTATTTTAATTAACTGTTTGTTTGTTTGTTTGTTGTTGTTTTCTATTACATTTTATTGTAATTTATATTTGGTGTTAGCAGCCCTGAGCCCGGCCCTGGCCGCGAGAGCGGGGTATAAATAAAATATTATTATTATTAATAATAATAGTAATAATAATTAAGATCTATAATAAACAAGCCCATGAACCAGCATAATAGTTAAAACAGTTAAAAGAACAATTAAAGCAGGAGCTTCAAATCAGGAGATCAGGGGAATGCTTGCTAAACAGGTGTGTCTTCAAGAACCGGCGGAATGCCGATATTGATGAGGCCTCTCACATTTCCACAACAATGGTGCCACTAGAGAAAAAGCCTGCCAAGCCGATAGTTATCAGGTTGTAGCAAAATAACCAGTTCCATGTGTTGAGCTTAATGCATTGAAGCCGTGCTTCCTGGTCACTGGAAATTATTTCCTGCCTTCATTTGAGTTTGGAGATTCCACCAAATACTGACCAAAAAATTGCTGTGCTTGTTTGGAAATCATAAGGGCTAACAACAAAAAGCAATGACTTTCAGGTTCCTAGATTCTTCACCAGATGCCAGTCACATTTCAAGATCTGTGTATTGCATGCATCTGACATTGTAAAAAGGCCCTTTGCATCAGGGCTTATTTTGAGGCCCTGCATTTTAGGAGGTTGCGTTGGAAAACCTTAAACACCATTAAGTGTACCCTATTCAAACATATGTATGTGTACAGATATGTAGATGAAGAGACAAATTCTGTGCCCAGGAGAGTGAAATCCTGTACCCAGAAAAGCTGAATTCTGCAAGCTGAATAAATTATGCAAACTAAGCAAATATGCCTAATTTATTCTTCATTTTAAAAATGCTATGCATAATGTACGGGCATGTGGAGGAAGCCAGGAGCTATACAACAGAAGCCACAACCACAGCAAAGCTTATTAAGCCATTCCTCTGACTTCTGAGATTGGACAAGGCATTGCCTACATGGGTTCAAATGCACCTATGTAACGATGAGGGCTAGAAGCTTGCTCGTTTTAAAGAAATAAAAGGAAGGAAGCTGAGATTCTTAGGGAGCTGTGAACTGTACTGTACATCTGCACTCCCACAAAATCATGCCACACAACACTGAAGGAGTCAGAGACCCTTCATCAATCGCTCTCTCCTTTGCAGGCCTTTTCCCGGCCAGTCCTCACCTCTTGCTGTGCGGAGAGAGTTTCTGAGGCACGTTCCTCTTCTTGATCAGCTTTTCCACGGTGTTGCCATGCAGGAGGCTGCGTGAAGGGTGGTGCTTAAAGAGCCCAGGGTACTTCTTCTCCAGGGCTTGCTCCCGCCTATGGATGGAGATGGAAAAAACTGAGAACGTACGAGGACGGACTGCGCAGACACCTGACCGCTGGGTGGAATAGATCCTTGGGGGGCAGGAAGGCAAGCTACAATTATTGTAAATGGTTGTGCAATTAAAATACATCAACTACAGCAACCCACAACGCCCCAACTAAACACACATGCATACACATATGTTATCCAAGTTTACAGGGAGGTTGTTACAGGGTTCCCTGGGACACAGGAAAATAGGAAGCTGCCTGACCAATTGTCCATGTATCTCAGAATTGTCTACTGAGGCTGAATCCTGACAAGACAGAAGTACTGTTTCTGGGGGATGGGGCATGTGTGGAGGACACTTTGGTCCTGAATGGGGTAACTGTGTCCCTGAAGGACCAGGTGTGCAGCCTGGGAGTCATTTTGGACTCGCCGCTGTCCATAGAGATGCTGGTCAACTCTGTGTCCAGGGCAGCTGTCTACCAGCTCCATCTGGTACACAGGCTGAGACCCTACCTGCCTGTGAACTGTCTCGCCAGAGTGGTGCATGCTCTGGTTATCTCCTGCTTGGACTACTGCAATGCACTCTACCTTTGAAGCTGACCTGGAAACTACAACTAATCCAGAATGCGGCAGCTAGACTGGTGACTGGGAGCGGCCATCAAGACCATATAACACCGGTCTTAAAAGACCTACATTGGCTCCCAGTACGTTTCCAAGCACAATTCAAAGTGTTGGTGCTGACCTTTAAAGCCCTAAATGGCCTCGGCCCAGTATACCTGAAGGAGCGTCTCCACTCCCATCGTGCAACCCGGACACTGAGGTCCAGCGCTGAGGGCCTTCTAGCAGTTCCCTCACTGCGGGAAGTGAAGTTACAGGGAACCAGGCAGAGGGCCTTCTTGGTAGTGGCACCCGCCCTGTGGAACGCCCTCCCATCAGATGTCAAGGAAATAAACAACTACCTGACTTTTAGAAGACATCTGAAGGCAGCCCTGTTTAGGGAAGCTTTTAATGTTTAATAGATTATTGTATTTTAGTGTCCTGTTGGAAGCCGCCCAGAGTGGCTGGGGAAACCCAGCCAGATGGGTGGGGTATAAATAATAAATTTTTATACTTATAATTATTATTGTTACAGGGTTCCCTGGGACACAGGGAAATAGCGAGCTGCCTTGTACCTTGTACCCAGTCTGACCAATGGTCCATGTGTCTCAGTATTGTCTACAATGACTAGTAGGGGTTCTCCAGGGTTCCAGACGGGGGTCTCTTCTGGTTCTTCCTGGAAATGCCAGGAATCAAACCTGGGACATCTGGATGCAGGGTAGATGCCCTAGCCATTGAGCTATGGCCCTTCTCAAGTGGGTTCGCCCTGGCTCACACCTCATCCCTCTTCCTGTATAGCCTCAAATGATGCTGTGGGAATCATTGGGCTTATGGGGGAAAAACCCGTCATGCTTCTCAGATCCACAGATTGGATAATGCTGCCATCCTTCCTGGTCCAGCTCTCTGGCATAGCAACCAGAAAAAGCTTGCCACCTAGAGGTCAGGAGCAGCCAGAGGCATCAGGATCCTTCCCCATTTCCTTTAGGGAACGGCTGCAGCTCAGTGGACTTTGGACTTTGTGTCCAATAGGACTAGGAGAGAGATCTCTGTCGGGATACCTGGACAAAAAATTGGCCCGGTAAAAACCATTTGCAACGTCTAGCACCCCTTGCAGTGGGATCCACCAGATGTTTCTGGGACTGCAGCTCCCATCATCCATTGGGACCTGCTGGCTGGGGCTGATGGGAGTTGGAGTCCAACAGCAGCCAGCAGGCCCCAGGTTTCCCTGCCCTGTTTTTGAGTTTCCGCCTTCTCACCTGAGGAGTTCCTTCTCCTTCAGCTCCAGCTGTAGCATGAGGGAGTTGAGCTCCATGTACAGGTTGTTGGCTCGCTCCAGCTTGCGCTCGTAATGCTCCCGGATGTCCAGAGCATGCCTGGGGAGGGAGAGGAAAGCAGATGTCAGGCATCCTATACGAACAGGCCTTGGGAGCCGGGTCCCAGCTCTGCTGCCGATGGGCTGCTTTTCAGAATTGGCAGCAGTGGAGAATCCGCGACCAGAAAGAAGAGGAACACCAAGAAGATTGGAAGAAATTTAAAGACTATTTGAATAAACATTGTAATATTAAAGATATGTAACCACTTGAAAGAAACAATTAGACCTAGGATTAAAATGGAATTAAATTTATAAATAAGAAAATGTACGATAAGGAAAGCTATGTAATATGATTAGGACTGTGATATGGTCTTTTGAAACACTGATATTGGAAACTGCTACATATAATTACTAAGAAATTCGGATGGAAGAGATTTGAGGAAGTAAAATACTATGTTTATGAAGATGGATGGTACTTAATTTTAATTAATTAAGTGGTAATATGTGGTATGTATCTTTTTTCTTTTTTCCTCTTTTTCTTCTATTTTTTGTTTGTCTTTATTATTGTTAATCTCTTCTTTTTTATTATGTTTATCTACTGAAAATAATAAATATTATTTGGGGGGGAAAAGAAAAAAAAGAATTGGCAGCAGTGACCCAAATGGCGAGGGGGACTGTCTGACTAATGCTGTCTGCTGCGGGAGTGAATATACCTGTTAAGAATAATAGTTTAATTCATGCTCATGCAAAAATGGAAAATATGTATGTATTAAAGGTAAAGGGAACCCTGATCATTAGGTCCAGTCACAGAGGACTCTGGGGTTGCGGCACTCATCTCGCTTTATTGGCCGAGGGAGCTGGCGTACAGCTTCCGGGTCATGTGGCCAGCATGACTAAGCCGCTTCTGGCGAACCAGAGCAGCACACACCGTTTACCTTCCCGCCGGAGTGGTACCTATTTATCTACTTGCATTTTGATGTGCTTTCGAACTGCTAGGTTGGCAGGAGCAGGGACTGAGCAACGGGAGCTCACCCCGTCGTTGGGATTCGAACCGCCGACCTTCTGATCGGCAAGTCCTAGGCTCTGTGGTTTAACCCACAGCGCCACCCGCGTCCCTGTGTATGTATTAAGGAAGGTTTAAAATGGAAAATGGATAAATGTGTGTTGCTAAAACAGGGGGTTTTCCACAAGAGTTTTTCTAAAGGACTCTGAGCTCTTGCAGAGGTAATGATGAACTGTTCTCTGGTAGCTAACATGTGAGGGTTGTAACCTGGGATCATGTGAGGAGGGAGCAGCTTTCAGTCTTTGCCTCCCAAACTCAGTGGAATGAAGATGCAAAGTGGGTTGTCTCTCTGAACGCTACAGGGAAAACAATGCAAGTAAATGGGTCTCCTGAAGGGAGAGCAAACAGACTGGAGGCTGGAAAGCAGGCTGGAGAGAGAGAGAGATTTGTTTATAGGTCAGTTTGGATTATTCCATATTTTGTAAGATGCCAAGCCTGTGCTGGGCAGCATAAGATACTGTATGGATATTTTTGATGTTTTAATTCTGTTTTGAAGTCCTGCCAGTAAAAGTGTGAATTGCTTGGGCGATGTTTCATATCCAAAGGAGTCAGTTCGTATGCTTCCAGTCGCTTCAAACTGCTCAATATTTAATATCTGCAACAACATAGAATATGCGCCACACTATTTATAAGCACCTGCTCCTAACAGGCAGTTGGGGCTGGTCAGCCTGGGAAGGTGGCTCATCTAGGAGAAGGAAAACTCTGATCCTAAACCTCCACTGCTTTGCAGGAGAAGAAAAGGCTAAGACGAAAACCCTACAAAAATCTGGAGTGGAGCCCTAAGGCAGTTGAATGGCGCCTTGTACGCCTTCTTCTAGCAACTCCTGCAGCCTAGCTGGTGCCCAATGTTTTGCTCTGTTTTCCTTTGGACCACATCAGTGAGGCCCAGGCACACTCCATTGTCTCTTGAGACAGACAGATACCACCGCTGCTGCTGCCACCAAGCTCCTGACTACAAGGAAGGAACCTTTTCAACCGTATCATTCCTTCTCCTATATCTATCACCTTACCTGAGTTCTTCTCGTCGCCGGTGGATCAGCTCCTCCTCCAAGCGGTGCAGACATGTCCCCTCTGACTTGATCTTTTCAAAATGCAGCTTCACTTCCTCCCTCCATTCAGCCTGCGGGGCAAAGAAGAGGAGACATTGATAAGCTTCTCTCCTGGATTCTGAACATACACAGCTGAAACTAATGGAAAACAAGAAGGAACACGGCTTTGGTCTTCTGGCAGAGTTCAAATGCCTGAACAAGGAAACATTGTACTGTGTCCATGGGCAGAAGATAGGAACATGCATGCGACCCCCCGATGCCCCCCCCGCATGCCACTGGTTTCAGACGCATTGGTGAGGAGAGCTGCAATGCATTTGTGTTGGTGCTATGTCAATGGACAGTCCTAGAATGTATTGTTTGATGGTCTTGCTGCCTGGTGTACTGAAACCAAAAGACGATAATAGTGCCTCACCAGGTCTACTCTATGCAACCTTAACATATGATCTTCAAATATCTCAAGGGCTGTCCCATGGAAGATGCAGCAAGCTTGTTTTCTCCTGCTCTGGAGGGTAGGACTCAAACTAACTTGGCAGGGGGTTGGACTCGATGGCCCTTGTGGTCTCTTCCAACTCTATGATTCTATGATAATGGCTTCAAGTTACAAGAGAGGAGATTCCGACTAAACATCGGGAAGAACTTTCTGACAGTAAGAGCTGTTCGACAGTGGAACGGTCTCCCTCTAGAGCAGCCTTTCTCAACCTGTGGGTCCCCAGATGTTGTTGAACTACAACTCCCATCACCCCTAGCTAGCAAGGCCAGAGCTCAGGGATGATGGGAGTTGTAGTCCAAGAACATATGGGGACCACTGCTCTAGAGGTTGTGGACTCTCCTTAACTGGATGGCTAAAAGTCTTGCTCTGCTTGAACCACATCAGTGAGGCTGTGAGGGGGGTGGGTCTTTTCATCTGGGCATCCCAAGACCTCCACACATATTGCCCAGGCTTGTGCCCCAAGAGGTAACTCTGGCGCTACTGATGCAGAAGTTTGACACACTCCATTGCCTCTCGAGTCAGACAGATATGCCCACAAGAACGGTGTAATGCAGGATGAAAGGTGATATAGACATTTAATAAATAAATAAATGAATAAACAACAACAACATGCATGCTAAGATCAATTTTCCCTTGGTCCAGTAGGCTAGTTTCTACATGCACCTCTCTCTATCCCTTGTTCAGGCAAGCAAAGAGGCATTCAAGGACTTGTTCCAGCCAAGTAAACACACTCAAGGAGAGGGTGATGCAGGGCCAATAAGGACTGTGGCCTGGAGAGAGTTCCAGCGCCAGACAGAGAGTCCTCATTTGGCCGACGGGGCCGAGGTTCCCCTTCCCTGGCTAAGAGTGTCAGACGAGGACCTGGCGTCAAACCCAATCCAGCCACGAAGTTCAGCGAGTGACCTTGGGCCAGTCACCCAAACCTACACCTAACTGATCTCTCACAAGGCAAGGATAAGATGGAGGGGAGAACCCTGTACACCGTCATGAATCTACAGAGGCATAACTATAGCAAATAAATAAAACAACACATAGGCTGGTGAGAAAGAGAGAGGAAAGCTCTGTATTAACCTCCATGAGGAAAATGGAGAGGAAGTGAGTGTGACCCCCAATGGGGGTCTGGAAGAAAGGCACTGGCCCAACAACACCCACCTGGGATTTGAAGTAGGTCTCTTGCGGTGTAGACAGCACATCGGCGGACGCGATGTCAAGGTGGAGCAGGATCTGGCGGAAGGAGGGCCGGTTCCGAGGTTTGCTGTTCCTGGATGGAGAGAAACAGACGGATGGAGCTGGTGTGGACATGAGCTAATGGTAATCCTCTGCCCAGGCCTCTCTCCCTGAGCACTTGGTTGTATTTGAGGGCAATTGGTGCCCCTCCGTCGATGGAAGGCATCGGTCAGCAGAACTACCGCTCAGTAGGCCATCTGCTTTGCCTGAAGAAGGTCATTTGCCCCACATTTTGCTGCGGCTATTGCATGCTCATTTCTGGGTTCCCATCAGGGAATTTTGTGCAGCACAGGGTAATAGGTACATCTTTAAAAGTAAAATAAAATGCCTCCAGTTATATTCTGATCGCTGCATATTTGAGGTAAATAAATACGGAGGAAGATTCTCCCCCAATCCTCCCTATGGCCAGATGTTGTTCTTCTTGTGTGAAGTGTGTGCCACACAGTTCTGGCAGTGGGACAGAAATGTTTCCACATGACACACTGGCAAACATTTGACAACACAACACGTGATAATAAAAAAATTATTATTTATACCCCACCCATCTGGCTGGGTTTCCCCAGCCACTCTGGGTAGCTCCCAAACAGAATATTAAAAACATGATAAAACATCAAACGTTAAAAACTGCCGTAAACAGGGCTGCCTTCAGATGTCTTCTAAAAGTCGGGTGGTTGTTTATTTCCTTGACATCTGATGGGAGGGCGTTCCACAGGGCAGGCGCCACCACCGAGAAGGCCTGGTTCCCTGTAACCTCACTTCTCGCTGGGAGGGAACTGCCAGGAGGCCCTCGGAGCTGGACCTCAGTGTTCAAGCACGATCCTGCACAAACAGCATACCACAGAGCACAACGGCACACAAGTGCCTTTCGTTGGCCTGCCAATGTGTCTCCAAAAATGAATTAGCTATGTATAATATTCAGTGATTTGGGTGGGGAGAGTCACACATCTAGGTTCCAGGTTCTCACTCCTGATGCAGAGAGAGGTGTTTGGGCTTTTTTCCTCTCTTTTTTTTACATCTCATGGACTTACCAGCACTGTCTCAGCAGGATCTTGAAACCGTCAGGGCAGCTGGTGGGAACAGGAAGGTGGAGGCTGTTGCTGCCCACCCCCCAGATGATGGCAGAGGAGTCCACATCCTTGTAAGGGATCTCTCCCGTCAGCAACTCCCAGAGGACGACTCCAAAGGACCTGTGGTGGGGAAATTAAATCTCAGGGCCCATCTGGCATGTAGCAACTGACTGCATTCTGCTACCGTTTTCACAAAACTCTGCAGCAGTTTCCCATCTCTTTCATTTCTTGTCCAACTTCCAAGAGACGGTGATCTACTCCCACTATAAAAAAACTGGCGGTGATCTACTCACTGGATTGACCAAAGTTGTTGAGCTTCTTTAGAAAGAAAAGCAATGACAAACCTAGACAGCATCCTAAAAAGCAGAGACATCACCTTGCCAACAAAGGTCCGTATAGTCAAAGCTATGTTTTTCCCAGTAGTGGTGTATGGAAGTGAGAGCTGGACCATAAAGAAGGCTGATTGCCGAAGAATGGATGCTTTTGAATTATGGTGCTGGAGGAGACTCTTGAGAGTCCCATGGACTGCAAGAAGATCAAACCTCTCCATTCTGAAGGAAATCAGCCCTGAGTGCTCACTGGAAGGCCCGATCCTGAAGCTGAGGCTCCAATACCTTGGCCACCTCACGAGAAGAGAAGATTCCCTGGAAAAGCCCCTGATGTTAGGAAAGATGGAGGACACCAGGAGAAGGGGACAGAGGACGAGATGGTTGGATAGTGTTCGTGAAGCTACCAGCATGAGTTTGACCAAACTGCAGGAGGCAGTGGAAGACAGGAGTGCCTGGCGTGTTCTGGTCCATGGGGTCACGAAGAGTCGGACACGACTAAACGACAACAAAGTTGTTGAGCTTTTTTGGGGTGGGTGGGAGGGGTCTACCTGTTGGCCATCCCAGGATAGAGAACGTAGAAAACCCTCACAGCTTCCTCTGCATTCCTCCCTCTTCTTCCAGTCTAATTTTGTGTGGTAGAATCATCTAGCATTTTAATTCTGCTCTTCTGCAATAAGTTACCCAAATAAATAGACAAGTTAAAATGTAAATTAACTGAGGAATGCTATTTCCCCATGATATCATGTGGTGACTTTTTCTTCCAATGTCCCCTGAAAAGGGCGAGGTGTGGTATTTTCACCAAACCAGGTACATTATTCCCCTCCCCCCAAGCAGTTGTTATGCCCCCTGGCTGCTTCAGAGGGAGAGGCCAGACAGCAAGACCCCTTCCATCAGCCATGCTGGTCAGGTCGGCCTGCCATTCAGCTCCCCTCCCCTCAAAAAAAATGCCTCAGGCAGTAGTCAACTCTACTGATTTCCCCACTTGCATTCCCATTCTGTATCTCGTCTGTTAAATTGCAGGCCGTTGTTGTTGTTGTTGTTTTTAACTGCCTGGTTTTTCTGCCTAGCAGAAAAATTGGTTATATAAATGTCAATCAATAAATGTTTGGGTTCTTTTTCTTTTTAAATGCCTATGTTTATTAGTTGCTATAGCAAAATAACATAAAGACAATTCCTGCCTGCACAGATGCCATCTAAATATGGCAGCCGTGGGGAGAAGGAAGTGTTCAGCACAGATTGCCAATTTCTGGACTATGTGCAATATAGATGTGTACTGTATATTTGTGAAGGAGGATGTTAGAATATGAAAATTCAAGGGTGTCTTTTCCCATATGGAACACGAACACATATGCACGATGCACACAGATTTGAAGGCTCAGCTCTGTATCACATATTATCTGGACTTTTGGTTGATGGGGACCTGTTCCAGAACATGGATGTGGAAGCTGGAATCCTCCAGTTATTGCTGGACTTCAGGTCCCAGCAGCCCAAGCCAGAATGGCCAACATTCAAAGATGGGCAGGAGTCTGGAGAGCCTCTGGGTCTCTACCCTTGTTCTGGCTCCGCCCCTGTCATGGTGGCTACCCTCTGGGATGGGAGATTTTCCTCTTCAGATTGGCACTTGGGGTGCGACCTGAATTTTTAAATCCTCTTGTTCCACTCTTGGAAGCAGTCCCCATCTCCCTTCCTTGTATTTTATTCTTTGCGTTGGATTTTAATCGCCTCACGATGATTCAGTTAAATTGCATTCATACCCAATGAGCTCAAGCCAGAGAACATGGCTCCCCCAACCCCGTCCATGTTTATATCTTCACAACAAGCCTGTGAGGTAGGTTAGGCTGAGAGGTAGTGAGTGGCCCAAGGTCACCAACGAGCTTGATGGATGAGGGAGGATTTGAACCTGGTTCTCTCCTGGTCCTGTTGCAAAGGGCTGGGGACTGCTGAGAAAGTCTCCATTTCCATGATGGCTGCCTTCACATTTCTGTGTGTGTGTGTGTTTGCGTTCTTGTGGCCTACCAAGCCCTGATCCCTCCCTCTTCCCACACCTCCCCTCTTCTGAGCAGGCCCGTCTCCTCACCAGATGTCAACCTTCTCAGAGACAGGCTCGTTCCGAATGACTTCTGGAGCCATCCAGGCCACCGTTCCGGCGAAGGACATCTTGGTGCTCTTGTCGCTGAGCTCTTTGGAGGTGCCAAAGTCAGAGATCTTCACCACATCATCGTAAGTGATCAACATGCTATTGGGTGGGTGGGGAAGGGAGAGCAGAGAAGAAGCATGAGGCCCTGCAGTGTTGATCTTCCCACCGTGCACATGACCAAGGAAAATAAGAAAGAGAAGTCATGCTCTCAGCAGTCAGCAGGGGGAGCACAGCAAGAGGATAACTTCCTTTCTAATGAAGGGAGAAGCATTCTGGTTCTAGACTGCTCCTCCACATGGGGCTGGACTAGATGACCCCCGGGTCCCTTCCAACTCTACAATTCAATGGTTCTATGCTCTAGAGTCTAGACAAAGAATCTGGATTACCTTGCTGGTAATTTGGCAGGGAGGCAGAATACATACTTCCCCTGGCAACCATGACATGTTGAAAGTCCTAGTCCTATTGCCACTTTAAAAGCAGTGCTGATTCTGACCTGGTACCCTAATCCCATCTTGTGATCACTAGGGCTGGGCGATATATTGCTATATCAACCAAAACTGATTTGAAGTCCGTGTCGTGATATTGCTTGCAGAGGTTTTGACCTGGCGATATATCACATATTACGATGTGCTTGTGCATGCTATGCAAAAATCACGATGTGGGAAAAACTATGAAGCCAGCCAATGGCTCTACCTATGTGCATAGCTCAGTTAGACTGTCCTTCCCCTTATTTCAGACATTGTGATGTATCAATATATCACGATGTTTAGCACGATGTTAAAAACCAGATCTTGCCCAGCCCTCCTGTTCACTTTTACATAGTTTCATCCTTATTTCATACATTGTGATATACAGTGGTGCCTCGGGTTAAGTACTTAATTCGTTCCGGAGGTCCGTTCTTAACCTGAAACTGTTCTTAACCTGAAGCACCACTTTAGCTAATAGGGCCTCCCGCTGCCGCCGCACCGCCAGAGCAAGATTTCTGTTCTCATCCTGAAACAAAGTTCTTAACCTGAGGTACTATTTCTGGGTTAGTGGAGTCTGTAACCTGAAGTGTATGTAACCTGAGTATCGGTATATTGCAATGTTTAGTTGGTGACGTATTGCAATGCCGAAAACCTCTCTCCCTCTCTCTCTTTCTTGGCGATCACTCGTGGCCGAGTAAGATGGTCTTCCATGAACACAGTCTTAGCGGTGTTTCCGTAAAACCAGATATCCCCCAGCCCTGGTGCTCACTGTCCCCCGGTAACTCCCAGCCACGTCTCCCCACTGTAAGTCTGCCCCCTCCCCTTCTTACTTGGGTGACTTGAGGTCACGGTGGATGATCTTATGCAGGTGCAGATAATTCATGCCGCCAGCAATGCCCATGGACCAGTCGACCAGCAGCGAGGGGGTGACCTTGCGCCCAGCACGCAGCACTTCATACAGCTGTCCCTGGGCACAGAACTCCATGATGATGCAGTAGCAGGGGGCCTGGGTGCAAACACCCCTAAGAGGAAGGAAGAAGCACAGGGCATGTTAGAGGCCAGCAGGAACACACAGTTAAGCAGTGCTCAGCGTAACACACAGCAGGGATACAGAATTCTGTAAGCTTTATCGCAGGACTAGGGCAACAACAACAACAACAACAACCCTAAGTCCAAGGGCCGTATTTCCTTGTGTGCAACCTCTTTCTTTTTTTAAAAATGATATTTATTAAAGTTTCAATAAAAGATTAAACATAAAACATAAAAAAGAAATACACAATTCAAAATATACAATATATAATCTAAAAGAAAAAGAAAAAATAAAAAAACAAGAAAACAAAAGACCAAAGAGAAAGTAGAACAATTAAAAACAGTATCATCTTTTCATCTCCATTTTTAAATTTACTTATTTTCTGGACCTCCTCGTACCTCCCTCTTTTGTATTCCAGTTCAAATTGTTTGTCCAGCAATTTCTTTCCCTCTTTTTTTAATCCCAATCTTAACTCTTGATATAATATAACATTAAAATGTTACCTTTTAAAAACCAAATTTCCATTTCCTTAAACTTTTTTAATCCTAATCCTTAATCTTAATCTATCCATAATTTTAAATCCTAAACAGCTGGAAGCCACTTATTTTTAATCCAACATCACTCTAACATTCTTTAATTTTGCAATGTTTCTGCAAATAGTCTTTCAATTTCTTCCAATCTTCCTCCACCGACTCTTCTCCCTGGTCACGGATTCTACCAGTCATTTCCGCCAGTTCCATATAGTCCATCACTTTCATCTGCCATTCCTCCAGTGTGGGAAGCTCTTGTGTCTTCCAATACTTTGCAATGAGTATTCTCCTTGTGTGCAACCTCTTGGGGGCCGCAGGCCAGTGGTGGGTGTGGCCAGAAGCAAAAGAAGGAGTGGTCAAAGGCCAACAGATGCAATTTTTACCTTCATATGGCAGACAGTCTCCTTCATTGGAGATTTTAAAGCAGAGTTTGGATGGCCATCTATCAGGGATTATTTAGCTGTGATTTCTGCATTGCATGGGTTGGACTAGATCACCCTTACTGTTCCTTCCAGCTACAATTCTATGATATTCCTGTCATGCAGAAGTCAAAGGGTGGCCCTAAAGCCCTAAACAACCTCAGCCCAGTATACCTGACGGAGCGTCTCCACCCCCATCGTTCTGCCCGGACACTGAGACCCAGTGCTGAGGGCCTTCTGGCGGTTCCCTCACTGCGAGAAGCCGAGGTTACAGGGAACCAGACAGAGGGCCTTCTTGGTGGTGGCGCCCTCCCATCAGATGTCAAGGAAATAAACAACTATCTCACTTTTAGAAGACATCTGAAGGCAGCCCTGTTTAGGGAAGTTTTAATGTTTGCTGTTTTAATATTTTTAATATTTTTAATATTTTAATATTTTAATATTTTAATATTTTAATATTTTAATATTCTGTTGGGAGCTGCCCAGAGTGGCCGGGGAGGCCTGGCCAGATGAGTGGGGTATAAGTATAAGTAAAACAACAACAAAAACAACAAACCTAAGTCTTACTCAGAGCAGACCTACTGAAATCAAAGGACCTAACATATTCTGTCCTGCTTTTAATGGTTTTCTTCTTTTACTGTATATTGTTGTATATAAAAAAATAGAAAAATTGTCCAGTAGCACGTTAGACACCAACTAAGTTTGTTCTTGGTATAAGCTTTTGTGTACATGCACACTTCTTCAGATACACACTTCTTCAGAAGTGCACGCACACGAAAGCTTATACCAAGAACAAACTTAGTTGGTCTCTAAGGTGCTACTGGACGTTTTATTTTTTAATATATTTCGACTGCGTCAGACCAACACGGCTACCTACCTGAATGTATATTGTTGTGTAATGCTCTGATATTGTATGACAGGGCAGTAGCAAACACTTTCATAAACACTCTTCATATAAATTCTCTGGTGGGCACCAAGTGGCAGAAGGCTGAACCAAGCACACACACAGTTAGCTATATGCTCTCATGGGAAAGATGGCTTGTGCCCAGCACAGGTGAGCTGGTGAACAACTCAGCAGGAGGAGGGTCTATTGCTTGGAAAAAGGCAATGTCCACACCACACTTGGGCACTGTCCTCCTGGAAGCCGGCAGGTCACCCCCCCACAAGGCGCCCCATCACCCAGACCCCACACTCACTTGAAGGTGATGATGTTGGGGTGCTTCAGTTTCCGCAGGTGCTTGATGTCTGTCTCCTTGAGGTCTCGCACCTTCTTGACGGCCACCTCCTCCCCATGGAAGCGTCCCAGGAATACAGCGCCTTGGGCCCCACTGCCCACCCACTGCAGGTCCATGATCTCTTCGAAGGGCACCTCCCAGGGGTCTGCATTTGGGAGGGAGAGAAGGTGGCTGTCGACAACCGTTCAAGGGAAGAAGAAGGAGGAGGAGGAGGAGGAGGAGGAGGAGGAGGAAGGCAGACTCTCTACGAGCATGGATCACTCCTTCCGCCAAGACCACAGGGCTTGAGGGAGACATATCCCTCATGTAGGAATCCCGAAAGCAAGCGTGTATTAGAAGGGCAAACGGAAACACGGAAGAGACGTAACATTCAGTATTCTGAGAACCTCAGCTCTTGGTTAAAAAAAATACTCAAACCGAGTTTCTATCCCTCATGGCAGTGAAGATAGCTTGAAAGTGTGAGGCCAATGTGTAGGGAAATTGTAGAATCTCTCTCTCTCTCTCTCTCTCTCTCTCTCTCTCTCTCTCTGTGTGTGTGTGTGTGTGGAAGGGATTTCCAGGGCTGAGGAGAAGGGCAGAAGGTCCCAGGTTCAATCCTTGATATCCCCAGGTAGGGCTGGGAATGTCTCCTTCCTGAAACCACGGAGAGCTATTGCCAGTCAGTGTTGACAATTCTGAGCTAGAAGGACCAACAGCCTGACTCTGTAGAGCAGGTTCCTATGTCCCTGTGATGGAGCGCTGCCCGGTCCAATACATTTTGGCACCTGTGTCGACCCACAAAATGGTGCCCATCCACCCTGCCAAGGAACAGTTCCCTACATCAGGAACAAAGCAGGAATAACTATCTACATGGGGATCTGCTGCCCCTGTGGATCCTGCCCCCTGAGGTGGTCACCTCCCTTTGCCTCATGGGCCAATGCTCCTCACAGCTCTTTGATTCTCCCCAGGCAGTTGCTCCCAGCCAACATCATGGGGCCATTCAAATCCCAGCCATGCATGAACTGGTCACAGAAAGGTAGTTCCAGTGTAGTTGGGGGAGCATAAGAAAAAGGACCAGAGGGAAGGAAACGTGGGACTTGAGTCTACATTTTGAGCCTGAAAATTGTCCTGACCCATCCATGTGTTTTCAAAGGAGGAGGAAGTACAGTGGTACCTTTGTTCTCAAACTTAATCCGTTCCAGGAGTCTGTTCAACTCCTGAAACCATTCGAAAACCAAGTTGCAGCTTCCGACTGGCTGCAGGAGCTTCCTGCAGTCAAGCGGAAGCCGTGTCGGAAATTCGGCTTCCGAAAAACGTTCGCAAACCAGAACACTTACTTCCGGGTTTGTGGTGTTCGGGAGCCGATTTGTTCAGGAGCCAAGCCGTTTGAGTACCAAGGTACCACTGTATGTAAGAGGCATTCAGCTGTAACAGTTGGAAATACCTGTCCTATTTGTTTCAGAAGACCACAGGTGAGAGAAAATGGGCTGATGACCCCTTGTGTATGAACACACACGCCAGCATCGTAATAAAAGGATGGTCCACATTCGCTTGGATGGTGTGAGGTCATCAACAGGTGAAATGCCCAACACCCACCCTACTTTTTAGTCCTTAGGGCTGCCAGCTCACAAAGCTGCAAGGCCAGGGGAGGCCACAACTGGCAGACTAGAGCAGGGGGAGCCAATGGGAATAGGCATCATCAGAAAACTGAGAGGCAAGGAAAGGTAATTCTGTAAGGGGACCCCCATACGTCTCTTCTGTCTATAAGCTGCATGGCAGAACTTTTCCAGGATGTAGGGCTGTAGCTCAGCAGTAGATCATCTGATCTACTGGTCCCAGGTTTAAACCCCAGCATCTTCAGGTAGGGTTGAGAGAGAACCCAGTCTGAAAAACTAGTGAGCATCTGCCAGTCATTGTAGGCCTGATCTAGATTGACCAATGGCCTGACTCAGAATAAGGCAGCTTCCTATTTATGGAGGCGCGTTAATCCCAATGAGTGACATCAGCAGCCATTCATCCAATCCTGTTCCTCACCTAACATCTATTTGCATGGTAAGCAATCAACGCACCTCACTGTAAGGAAAGGGTTAAGCTGCCCTGCTTAACAAGCCTGGAGTATTGAGAATGAATTCAAGTATGCAACACCTACCACAATTACCGTCTGGGACGGAAAAATCTCCCCGCGGGATTTGTAACAAAACCCATCTTGGCAGGTGCGCATACCCAATCTATATTACAATAGTTAGGTACACTGCTAGAGGATGTTCCTTCTCCCTGCAGTTCTTTGTATCTGCAGGTTAACTGGAGCAGCTCACATTAAATAAACAGTTATTTAACTGAAGGCTTCGGTGGTCGAAAACAGCACTTTGACTTGGGCCCAGAAGCAAACTGGCAAATAGTGCAGATCTTTTCAGGAGAGAAGTATGCAATGCGACCCCTTTGGCTAGAAAACATTAAGAGTCTAATGGCTGCGTTCAGGATCAGCCACCGTCTCTAAGGCAATCCCAGGTAGAGCGCATTGCAGCAATCCCTGACCACTGAATGTACCCAGGATGGAGACTGATTCTCCCAAGGATGCACTTTGCATCTCAAGTTATATAACCAGTGAAGCTGGCCGGAGCCACCCCTGGGCACAGATGCCACCTGAGGTTGGCGTTGCCGTGTTTGTCTGGGCAGTAATGTGCCAGAAAGATCACAGGGCAGACGAATGGCCTCTGGCCAAAGTGGTACATAACATCCCTGATGCCACCACATCTGATTTAGGGCACTTTCAGATTGCCGGTAATTTGTGGGACGAATTCAAGCACCCGCCAAACTTTAGGTTCCCACCTTTAAAGTGCATTCTTAAACAGTCATGTCACTCTGGAGCTACAAATCTGCTTTTTCAAAATCAAACCAAAAAAATCCCATACTTTTTGCAATTGAGAAGGAATGTACAGAAAAGTGTGGGATGAACTAACAGGAAAATTTGCAAACACCCCACAAGAAAATCAGGATGAATGCTCATTGTTGCATTAACCACCCCACAAACAAATTGGAACGAATGTGCAATAAAGACCAGATTTAATCTAACCACCATGTAAACTTTGTGCAAGCAAATCAGGATGAATGCTCGATAAACAGGTCATCTGGAGGAGCTATTAGCTTAACAACTGCATGGTTGAACAAACCTGGGATGCTGGAAAGTGGCTTAAAGGTAATGGTAAAGGGACCCCTGACCATTAGGTCCAGTCGTGGCCGACTCTGGGGTTGCGGTGTTCATCTCGCTTTATTCGCCGAGGGAGCCGGCGTACAGCTTCCGGGTCATGTGGCCAGCATGACTAAGCCGCTTCTGGCGAACCAGAGCAGCGCACGGAAACGCCATTTACCTTCCCGCCAGGGCGGTGCCTATTTTTGATGTGCTTTCAAACTGCTAGGTGGGCAGGAGCAGGGACCGAGCAACGAGAGCTCACCCCGTCGCGGGGATTTGAACCGCCAACTTTCTGATCGGCAAGTCCTAGGCTCTGTGGTTTAACCCACAGCGCCACCGCTTACTCACTGCTTATTTATTGCTTATTGCTGTAAGTCACTTTGAATTGTGTATGCCAGGGGTCACCAACCTATGGTCCGGAGGCCGGATAAGGCCTGAGGGACTTGCTTATCTGGCCCGCAGCAACACCTACCACCCACTCTTAGTGGCGCGGCGCAGTGCAGCTCGGGGACCCACTTCCGGGTCAGAGGAGCACCGGAAATATCTTGTGCACATGCGCACAGGGCTCCTCCAACCCAGATGTGCACTGGAAATAGCGTATGCGGGCACGCTTCCCCGTCCTCCGGCCCGCCGCGTAATCATTGCTGGAGACACTGGCCTGAGGCAAGGAAAGCTTGGAGACCCCTGGTGTAAGAAAATAAAAAGTATTGTATTTTTCGCTCCATAAGACGCACTTTTTTCCTCTTAAAATCTAAGGGGAAATGTCTGTGCATCTTATGGAGCTAATGTGTGATCCCTGGGGCTGGGGGGGACGACCCGGGCTTCCCCCGCCAGCCCGACGAGCTCGCAGCCTTTCCGCTGCTCCCTGACCTGCTCTTTGGGGCTGGCGGTGGGGGAAATCCGGGCTTCCCCCCACCAGCCCCAAAGAGCAGGTCGAAAGGAACCCGAAGCCTCCGGAGCGCAGTGGGAACTCCCGCCGTGCTCTGGAGACTTCGGGTTGCCTTCACTGAACGCACCTTGTTTTAGAGGGGGAGAACAAGAAAAAAAATTCTCCCCTTCTCTGCGCAGCGCCCCTTCAGCAAAGTGGCAGGAGAAATGGTGCTTTGCTGAAGGGGCACTGCTCAGAGAGGGGGAGATTTTTTTTTTCTTGTTCTCCCCCTCTAAAACAAGGTGTGTCCTAAGGTCGGGTGCGTCCTATAGAGCAAAAAATACGGTAATATGTTTAAATAATAATTAAAAAATAGGTGATCAAATCCAGGACTTTTTTGCACACAAAGGACGTACTCTGCCCCCTTCCGTTGTTGTTCCTATCGCACTAAGATTTCTTTAATGCCCCCCACTGTCTCCTCACCTTCCTGTTGCTGTTTGTGTTCAGTGGAATACGCCTTGCCAATCATGGTCCAGACAGGCTTGAGGCAACCAAACAGGCCTTCCAGGAAGCCGCTCCCTGTGTGGCAGTGGATCCGTACTTGGTCGGCGTGGTAACGGGTAGGCCGCACCTCGGGGTTCCCGGGGCAGGCCCCTGCGCCAGCCCCGCCTCCCCCACCAGCCTCGTTCTCGTGGAGCTGCAGGACGCTGTTGGCAAACTGGTCGTGTGCCTCCTCGCTGGGGCTGGGGCTGTGCCCGCTGCCCCCGCCTCCACCCCCGTCGATGGGCAGCACATCCCTCAGCACACACTGGGTGGGCGTCAGGTCCTTCTCAGGGGTGCAGTCCGAGGCGTCGTGGTCCAGCTTGCGGAGGGAGCTCTCCGTCAAGATGGTGTTGAAACTGCCAAAGGATGGAGAAGGTGTGCGGGTCTCGTGGAGGCAGGCCATGACGGCGTCTAGCTTGAGGTAACGTCCAGCTAGTCCCTAAGGGGGAAAGAGATAGAGACAAAAAGAAAGCATGGTGAATAAGACTACCAATAGCATTACTGAGGTGGGATGCGGGTGGCGCTGTGGGTTAAACCACAGAGCTTAGGACTTGCCGATTAGAAGGTCGGCGGTTCGAATCCCCGTGACGGGGGGAGCTCCCGTTGCTCGGTCCCTGCTCCTGCCAACCTAGCAGTTTGAAAGCACATCAAAGTGCAAGTAGATAAATAGGTACCGCTCCAGCGGGAAGGTAAACGGCGTTTCCGTGCGCTGCTCTGGTTCGCCAGAAGTGGCTTAGTCATGCTGGCCACATGACCTAGAAGCTGTATGCCGGCTCCCTCGGCCAATAAAGCGAGATGAGCTCCGCAACCCCAGAGTCGGCCACGACTGGACCTAATGGTCAGGGGTCCCTTTACCTTTAGCTTAGCATTACTGAGTTTGTCAGATTTGAAGAGCAACGTTTTGACATACAGTGGTACCTCGGGTTAAGTACTTAATTTGTTCCGGAGGTCCGTTCTTAACCTGAAACTGTTCTTAACCTGAAGCACCACTTTAGCTAATGGGGCCTCCAGCTGCCGCCAGAGCATGATTTCTGTTCTCATCCTGAAGCAAAGTTCTTAACCTGAGGTACTATTTCTGGGTTAGCGGAGTCTGTAACCTGAAGCATCTATAACCTGAAGCATATGTAATCTGAGGTACCACTGTATTAATAACTATATTCTGAGCCTGGCTATCAAAAGGGAATTGGATCATAGAGTTAGTTACATCTTACATCCCATAATCCTGCCCTGTTGCTGCCCATCGCAGAAGTCCCTTTTCATTCGACTGCTGCAGAACCGCCCGCAGGGAACAGTTCAAGGAGCAAAACTGCACGTGACTTACAAGTGCATGTATGGTGTTACCTCAGGTTAAGAACTTAATTCGTTCCGGAAGTCTGTTCTTAACCTGAAACTGTTCTTAACCTGAAGCACCACTTTGGCTATTGGGGCCTCCCGCTGCTGCCGTGCCGTTGGAGCCCAATTTCTGTTTTCATCCTGAAGCAAAGTTCTTAACCTGAGGTACTATTTCTGGGTTAGTGGAGTCTGTAACCTGAAGCGTCTGTAACCCGAGGTACCACTGTATTTCAACCCCAATGGGAGGTGATTGTGAGTGAAGAATTGCCTTGTGTGTGGATTGCTGCATCCTTCTCCCGTCCAATACATTTCTGTTGTGATTCCCTCCCCCCCTTTATTTCCAGATGTACGGTTTTTTAAAATATAATTTTTATTCATTTTCTCATTGAACAATAATTTCAATTTACACCACCAATCCAATCTTTCCATGCTCTGCCGAGCTTAAGACCTCCTTTCCCCCCTTCAACAAGCTTTCTATTCCCAATTTATATCTCACATTTGTAACTTAAACTGTAAAGTCCACATCGTAGGAATTATTTCAGTCCTGCTAGTGTCTTCAAACTTTTACAATGATTATTAATGTAATCAATAAATCAATAAATTTACTCCAGTCTCTCTGGAATTTTATGTCCTCCTGGTTCCTGACTCTGCATGTCAGTTTTGCCAATTCTGCATAGTCCATCATTTTTGTCTGCCACTCCGCAATCGTTGGTATTTCTTGCAATTTCCACTTTTGGGCTAATAAAGTTCTTGCCGCAACTGTGGCATACAGAAATAGTCTTTGGTCTGCTCTCGCAATTTCTTCCCCCATCAACCCAGCAGAAATGCTTCTAACGCCTCTCTCTTTGCTCCAAGAACCAGCCACTGGTATTATATGAGTTTGCATATTGTTTGATACTAGATCCTAAGCTATAAGCCAGTCAACACTCTTTCCTGTTAAGTCTCATTCCTAAGCCACTATTTGAGTCATTCATTATTTGTTGCTTATGTATTCATTCAATTTAAAGCAACATTAATGAACTAGCTGGACCATAAAGAAGGCTGATCGCCGAAGAACGGATGCTTTTGAATTATGGTGCTGGAGGAGACTCTTGAGAGTCCCATGGACTGCAAGAAGATCAAACCTATCCATTCTGAAGGAAATCAGCCCTGAGTGCTCACTGGAAGGACAGGTCCTGAAGCTGAGGCTCCAATACTTTGGCCACCTCATGAGAAGAGAAGACTCCCTGGAAAAGACCCTGATGTTGGGAAAGATGGAGGGCACAAGGAGAAGGGGACGACAGAGGATGAGATGGTTGGACAGTGTTCTCGAAGCTACCAGCATGAGTTTGACCAAACTGCAGGAGGCAGTGGAAGACAGGAGTGCCTGGTGTGCTCTGGTCCAGGGGGTCACGAAGAGTCGGACACGACTAAACGACTAAACAACAACAATGAACTAGCCATTGAACTAGACAACACTATTACTTTGACGGGCAGTGGTGACTTTCCTGGGTCTCCAGCCCGGGTGTGTGTGTGTCCGGAGAGTGTTTGTGATGACATGGAGAGAATGGCTTAATTAAAAATTGCAGAACTGTAGCTGCAGGTCCCCCCTGTTGGGACAAGGAGTAACTTGGTACTTCTAGCTGCTCATTCCGTAGCTCAAACGCATTCGTCTAATGCGATAGCTTCCCACTCTGCTTAAGGAGCCCCTTGCAATATGCCGTGATGTTCCCTAACCTTCTCTAGTCCATCTAACCTTACCTCTCTCTCCCTGACCTAGCCACTGTGATCCACGCAACGGTCACCTCCAGATTGGATTATTGTAACTCACTCTACGTGGGGCTGCCCTTGAGACTGACCCAGAAACTCCAGCGGGTGCAGAATGCCGCGGCGAGACTCCTTACGGGGTCCTCGCTGCGAGATCACATTCATCCGGTGCTATACCAGCTGCACTGGCTCCCGGTGGAGTACAGGATCAGGTTTAAGGTGCTGGTTTTAACCTTTAAAGCCCTATACGGCCTAGGACCCTCGTACCGCCTCTCCTGGTATGTCCCACAGAGGAACTTACGGTCTTCAAACAAAAACATCCTGAAGGTCCCAGGCCACAGAGAGGTTAAGCTGGCCTCAACTAGAGCCAGGGCTTTTTCGGCTGTGGCTCCAATCTGATGGAACGCTCTGTCACAAGAGACTAGGGCCCTGCGGGACTTGACATCTTTCCGCAGGGCCTGCAAGATGGAGCTGTTCCGCCAGGCCTTTGGTCAGGGCGCAGCCTGACTCCCTCCTTTGGCAATCTTCACAGAACTTTAGCCTAATGGTTGCCATCAATTTGATTTGAATTAATTTTATAATGAAATGATTTTAGAATGTTGTACTATTTTATTGTTGCTAGCCGCCCTGAGCCCGGCTTCGGCTGGGGAGGGCGGGATATAAATAAAATTTATTATTATTATTATTATTATTATTATTAGAGTCAGAAAGTCCTTTGGTACAGGCCCTAGCTGATTTCAGCAGCAGTTAAATGCAAAGTGGCTGCAGCACAACACAAGTTAAAAATGGCTGCCAGGAGAAAACAGTTCAGAGGTTTTCTTCTAAAATTGGTTCCCCGGAAGCAGTGTAACAAAGGCAGATCTCAAAAAGGGACTTGCATATGGACAATGTAAAAGAAACCTTACCAAAGGAGATTGGGGAGAGAGAGAGAGAGAGAGAGAGAGTAAAAGCAGGCCTGAGGGTGAGCAGGGTGGCCTGGGTAAAACCTACAAGGCATGTCTGGGAGCCCCAAACAAATGGACTGATTAAGGAGATGGAATTGTTGGCCTGGAAGAAATGGGACGCTTAATGGAAAGCCAGAAGGAAAAGGGCACAAGACCTTTAAAAAGGATGCTAAGAAGCTTTCATGTTAATATAGTGCATGGGGAAACCAACAAAGACAGTCTTAAAAGTGCCAAGGGGATTACGTGATCAGAGCAGTGAGCAAGAAAAAGAAGTTTAGCATCAGAAAGCGAAGACGGATAAAAGAATAAAAGGAGAACTCGCAGGGCATCTCTTAGCAGCAGGGATGGACACACACACACACACACACACCACCCTTGCAATTCAGTTGATCAAATGTTCAGCTTTGAGTCTCGTCCTTTCTTGCCCATGCTTGACTCTCATTATTTTTATGTGTTTAAGGCTGCAATCCTCTATCTGTTTACCTAGGGATAAGCCCAGTGGAACTGCATGGGACCTATTTCTGAATAGACTTACATTTTTAGGGTTGTAGCCAACTATGGTAAAGGTAAAGGGACCCCTGACCATTAGGTCCAGTCGTGGCCGACTCTGGGGTTGGGGCGCTCATCTCGCTTTATTGGCCGAGGGAGCTGGTGTACAGCTTCCGGGTCATGTGGCTAGCATGACTAAGCCGCTTCTGGCGAACCAGAGCAGCACACGGAAACGCCATTTACCTTCCCATTGGAGTGGTACCTATTTATCTACTTGCACTTTGATGTGCTTTCGAACTGCTAGGTTGGCAGGAGCAGGGACTGAGCATCGGGAGCTCACCCCGTCATGGGGATTCGAACCACCGAGCTTCTGATCGGCAAGTCCTAGGCTCTGTGGTTTAACCCACAGCGCCACCCGCATCCCTAGCCAACTATGTTAGCTATGTCCAATAACTTCAGTGAGTCTGCTCTGTGCAGGATAAGCGTTTGCTACAACCCTTAGTATGATGGGTTGTTTTTTTAAAAAATAATCTGAATGGTATTTTATATATTTATGTTACCCACCTTTCAGACTATAATGTAGCATATAAACATATTAAATAAAAAATTGGCATGCTTTAGGCAGACTGCCTTTTCAAAAATGGCTACCCATTTACCACCTTGTTCCTAATATTCCTAATAGGAGAAATGTTAATATTTAAAATTAATTGCAAGCAAGAAGTCCAAACTAGACAGGTGAATCTTTCTAATACTGTAAATAACAGCCCTTGTGAGACCTTATCGGATCAGAACTGAGGCATAGAGGCAGGGGTTTTTTGTGGGTTTTTTAAAAAAAGAATTCTTCTTGCTATTAGCCCTGGCAGAGAAGCCTCCGTTGCAGATATGGCCTTGATAGGATCAAGAAACCAAAGATAGAACAAACAAGTTTTGGATATTTTATCTCAAACAGGAAACAGAAGATGACAGGCATATGTCAGATGAAAAGAATTCAAAGTCCATCAGAAGTGATGGAGGTGGGGGAGGGTTTTGTTTAAATAAAATTAAAAAAAGACAGCGGGAAGCAGTCTTTTGATGGAAACATCTGTGTCCCGAGACAGCACGTTGAGAGCCTGTGGAGACCTGGTTTTGCTGGCTTCCTTCTTCTGGGAGATCAAGGCCAGGGTTTGATGGTGTGCAAAGGAAATTCTACATCTGATCCTAGCCTTAGATGGGGCCCCAAAGCAATCAATTCTTCTCATATCCCAAGGCTGTCAATTGCCATTATTTTTCAAGGAAAAAAAATCTCTCACTTGGGGGAAAAACCCCCCACCTAGATGCAATATATCTTGGTTCTTTTCAGAAGAAAAAGAAGTACTAGGTTGCTGAAAAGCTAAGGAACACAAAGGATCGTGTGTGTGCTTGCGCGAAAGAAAAGCATTTACTGATGGTGCTACATTAATCACAATAAAAATCTTCTAAATGCATCATATCCTGCCTCCTCCTTGCACAGCTGTACATGTATGTGTGCAAAGCTAGATGACCAGCCATGAATATCATTCCCTAAACCCCAAGCTCAAACATAAGATTTGAATAAACTTTAGCATTTGTATGGACCGTTTTGTGCAGATCATCTCATCAATGCTTGCAACAAGCACCTTCGTTTGTATTACAATACAGCAGGAAAGAGCACCGTGTTCAGATAGGAAGGTTGGCATTTATTCTTCCCATGTGGCAGGGAATGTGCGAGCCCATCTGGTGAGTTCATGGCTGAGCTGCGAATTGAGCTCATAACTCATGCTCTCAACCAAGGATGGGGAACATATGGCCCTCCCAATGATGTCAGACATCAGGTCCCCAGGCTGGATTGCTGATATTCAAGTCATGGCCCAACAACATCCGGGTGCTGTAGATGCCCCACTGCAATGGGGTGCTGGAGGTTGTAACTGTGGCTGGGCGACACAGTGGTACCTCAGGTTACATATGCTTCAGGTTACAGACTCTGCTAACCCAGAAATAGTGCTTCAGGATAAGAACAGAAATCATGCTTTGGCGGCACAGCGGCAGCAGGAGGCCCCATTAGCTAAAGTGGTGCTTCAGGTTAAGAACAGTTTCAGGTTAAGTACAGACCTCCGGAACGAATTAAGTACTTAATGTATCTGGTTTACAACATTGCGATATATCACCAGCTAAACATCGCGACATACTGATGCCAATATATCACAATGTCTGAAATAAGGATGGAGCCACGTAGACGCATTGGCTTCACAGTTTTTCCCACATTGTGATTTTTGCATCATCATCATTTATTATTTATTCTCCGTCCATCTGGCTGGGTTTCCCCAGCAACTATGGGTGGCTTCAAACAGAATACAGTGGTACCTCGGGTTAAGAACTTAATTCGTTCTGGAGGTCCATTCTTAACCTGAAACTGTTCTTAACCTGAGGTACCACTTTAGCTAATGGGGCCTCCTGCTGCCGCCGGGCGATTTCTGTTCTCATCCTGAAGCAAAGTTCTTAACCCGAGGTACTATTTCTGGGTTAGCGGAGTCTGTAACGTGAAGCGTATGTAACCTGAAGTGCATGTAACCCGAGGTACCACTGTATTAAAAACAATAAAACATGAAACATGAAAAACCTCCGTAAACAGGGCTGCCTTCAGGTGTCTTCTAAAATTCAGATAGTTGCTTATTTCCTTGATATCTGAAGGGAGTGTGTTCCACAGGGCGGGCGCCACCACCGAGAAGGCCCTCTGCCTGGTTCCCTGTAGCCTCACTTATTGCAGGGAGGGAACCACCAGAAGGCCCTCAGAGCTGGACCTCAGTGTCTGGGATGAACGATGGGGGTGGAGACGCTCCTTCAGGGTACACTGGGCTGAGGTTGTTTAGGGCTTTAAAGGTCAGCACCAACACTTTGAATTGTGCTCGGAAACGTCCAGGGAGCCAATGTAGGTCTTTCAAGACCAGTGTTATATGGTCTCGGCGGCACATGCTCACAGTTGTACTGAGCTTTGGAAACACCCCCCCAAAAAAAACCCCACCATACAACCAAGGAGGATCTCTCTGTCCCTTCTCAACTCCAGGCTGGTTTGGCTCCACTTGCTGCCATCATGTGCTTGCCAAGTGGCAAGGAGGATTGCGGAAGGGCTGTTTGGTGATTTAAGGAGCAAAGGGAAGAGGGACACAGGTGGCAGCTTCAGGTCCAACAAGACTGCCCTCTTTCTTGCCATGGTGCCATCTGCCACCAAGAGGCAGGATACCACTGAATACCAGTTGCCAGAAACCACAGGACATGCTGCACTCATGCCCTGCTTATGGCCTTTCTATAGGATGCTGGTTTAGATGGGCCTTTGGCCTGATCCAGCAAGGCTCTAGTTGTTTCTGTGATGGCCTGGGAATCTGATTCAGAGGCTGAACTGGAGGAATCCCAGCCTGCACAGGAGTCCCCGCCTCCAGGGCCGGGACAGTGCCTTGAATCTGAAGGGCCCGCACCTGTGCCAGATCCTCAGGAGCAGACACCAGATGAATCCACTCTGGCTCCGGGGGTGATTGAGGACCCGTTGCCTGCAGGTGCTCCTCTCCCAGCCCTGTCAAAGGAAGGTGAGGCGGCCTCTGGGTCCGGTAACCCTCCAGCCTCTCCTGAGCTGCAGAGGCTCAGGGCAGAGAGGCGGAGGGAACTGAGTTCTATCAGGAGGAGTGCTCGCCTTAAGGCCAGGAGAGGCGAGTCACCTGTGGGCCAGGACCACCCCAGGCCCCAAAGGAGATAAAGGCCAGTCAGCCCAGTCCCAGGTTGCGGGAGCAACGTCGTTGGAAACCTGTTTCTGCCAGCACCCAGACCTGTTTTTCCGCAGTTCCCGACCATGCCCGGCTTCTTGCTTTGGACCCCGCTTCGCCCTTGGAGGATAGTCTCCAGACCCTCGACCCAGGACCAGACTCCGACCACGCCTCACGGTAACCCCCCCCCGGACCAGCACAGTGTCCTTAACTGCCCTGCAAGAAAGGGCAAGACAGAGGCAAGAGGCGGTGACAACAACAACAACAGCACCACCACAGTAATGATCCAGATGACGTCCGTCAGCAGAGCATCTATTAATATTTTCAATAATGGGGGGGGGGGAACAGTTGACACTTGATCATGCTCTAACTAAACTCTTTTGTTTGCTCGTTAATAAATGAATGAATGGATAACCAACTCTTTTGTTTGCTTGTTATTGTGTTGTTTTTAATGCATCCATTTGTATGAATGTGAGCTGCGAAGCAGGCTATAATTCTATGGAATAAATAGATACAAAAATGCCTGCCTGCCTGCCTACCTATGCAGGGTTTTGGGATGAGAGGAGCTGTCCTAATTCTTGGACACCTGCCCGAGAAAGGTTTGCGTGCATCACTCTGCACACAGCACATTGTTCCTGATCAATGGCTTCTTGCACCAAGCAAGGTGCCATGTGGTCTAGTTTAAAGCAGCCAGCACAAAGCCTGCTCCTGTGGGATCACTCTCCATCTCTTTGAAGAACAAAAATCCAAAGGATTCTCTTTTCAGGGATGAGCATAGCAGTATTGTTAGAAAGGTTTCAAGAGCTCAGCGTTGACTGTACTCAAAATTCAGAGTGGTCTCCAAAAACGCTTTACTCAAAGGGAAATTAATCAACCTAAGTTCATCATGTCTATTAGTTTTTGGTTTTTACAATATTATCGACAAAACCAATAAAAACCAATAAAATTTTTTTTGGGGAAAAAAAGTTCATCATGTCTATTAATTTCAGTGGGTCTTCTCTGAGTAAGACTGGCAATGGATAGTTTATAAACCTTTCAAGGTGGGGGGGAGGTGGAGGGGAGGCAGATTTTTAAAAATATGTTGCAATTACATACATATGGTTATAGGCCAGTCACCTTTTTTTCATATTTAAAACAGAAGAGTTTGGGCCTTTGGCACACATACTCTCTCTCTCTCTTTTTTTAAAATAATTTTTATTAACTGACCAATCAAATCAAATCAAATCAAATCAAATCAAATCACATAAATTCCGAATTACAAAGCCGAATTTTAAATTTTTTGTTGAGGGGACCCATATTTCAAGTTCCGAAGGGGGATTCCGATCATCTTCTTGCTACTGCATTAATATCCACAAATCAGTCCAAATAATGTTCATAATTCTATCCAGTCTTATCTTGCTGTTTCCACATCTCATCTTTTTCTTTTTCTCGTATATTTTTTCTTCTTTTCCTTTATGATCTCTTCTGATAATCTCCTTAAGCAGATAAACACCAATTATAATCCTGTGTGAATTTTTCCGTTTGTCCAGTCCTCATATCACGATGGTTTCCATATATCATCGCTTTCATAAATAACATCACTCTTTCCATCATTAATCTCGCAAAACTGTGGCTCTTAAGTCCCTCTGAGGAGTCTCACCCACAATATAAAAACAGCTCTGTTCCTCCTCCCAGACTTAAGTCTTCCAACAGAACTTGCCAACATGGCGACGGTATTTTTTACTGCGTCATTCCAAAGCTCTTATACTTTCCACGATCTTCTTAAAACATGCTTTGGTTAGAAAGTTATCTCCACACAGTCATAAATCCACAGCTTAAGTCATTTACACGGCATTACTAACTTGTGACTTGTGGGGGGGATTCTTGGTTAATCACATAGAGAAAAGAAAGGAAAGTTTCCCCCCCCTCCCCCATCCAGTCCCTTTGCCATACCGAGCCTTGATGTGTCTTCTCATGATTTATTCTTGTTCCTCTGACCCGTCTTGTTTATCAGAGATCTCTTCAGTTAGCAGTCTTTACTCCCCCTTCTTCCTTGAAATATGTGCATTCGCTTCCTCCTCTTTTGAAGTTGCTGCAGCTAGGGGCACGGATCAGAGACAGCGTCCAGGAGCGCCGAGATCCACAGGAGGGCTTTCTGCCTAGTGCCCTCATCCCCACAAGTTCGGGGGGTGGTATAGGGCACAGCAGGCAAGGGCAGTTCCCCCCACACCCTTGGGGGGGGGCAGGGAGGCTATTTACTCCCATCACAGCCTCCTAATTACCTTGTGTGGGTCGGAGAGATGTTATTGTCTGCCATCTTCCGATGCGCCCCTAGTGGCCCCTCTTGGCACGCATACTCTGAATATACAGACCCATTTTTAAAAAGTGTAATAATAGCCATTCAGTTTGTAGAGTTGGCATCTGAGGAATAATCATCATAGGCATTTTTACCCCAATATTAAACTTAAAAAGGCTCCCATAATTACAAGTGAACTGAAAGATGGGGTGAGGTGGGGGTGGAGCTAAAACCTGTTCCCTTTCTGACTGGTGCCCCAGATATTTACAGTCTCCTAAATGTTTCTGTTGGGAGCCACTTGGAACTGGTTTATTAAATTTGTCATGCAAGTAGCGCTATGTCCTTGAGTCACAGCTTTCTCTGTGGCCCAAGCTCTCTCCATGGTGCTGAATTCATCCACCACCTGCCTCCTTTGTAGTTTGTGTGTTCCCTCATGGGTTGGCTATTGGGGTTGCTTCTGAAACACGTCCCCTGTTTGTGTATTCCCTCATGGGTTGGCTATTGGGGTTGCTTCCGAAACACGTCCCCTTCCTACCCACAACTTAAAGGAGCAAGCGGAGGGTGTCCTTAGCGCATGCACAGGTTTTTAAATTTGCACCCTGCTAACCACATGTGGAAAGTCAGAAACCTGTATTTATCCAGTTCTGAAGAGGTGCTTCAGAAATGGCAAAGACACGTCACTGCAATTGGTTTTATTTCCTGCTCTGATCCTTACTCCTGCCTTGAACGTACAAATAGAAATGATTAATATCAGAAGCGCTCCTGGTATTTTTAGGTTTTTGAGCACTGTTTGAATTCACTCCATGGTGGCAGCCATGACAGGAGAAGAGGGCGTGTACAGCAGAACAGCACTCAGCTAAGTGAATGCGCAGATGGCCTTTCCATTCTCTGTGCTGAAGAGTTCTGTTGAACCTGCATGCTTGAATCATTTTGCCCCATCCAATGTGGGAGCACCAAAATAGATTACATTACCCTAGCGGCGGGGCACCAGGACTGCTGTGGGAAGCCTCCAGTTCCTGGAACCTGTCTTCCTCTTTTATCTGGGCTGCACTCTGAGCAGAACTGCCATCTGGAAGAGGACTCAAAGTCATTACTAAAGGGAAACCTTTCCATTCGCCAATTCTACGTCACTAGGTGATACAATGGCACTGGCATTTCCCAGCCAGTCTAGTGATTTCGCTTGTCCTTCATTTTCACCTGCATGTGCTTGGAAAGCTCTTTTCTTTTTTAAAAAGATTTTTTATTGATACAACAAGAAAAAAGAAAAAAACACAAATACCAAATTACACACAGGAATAACTAGAGACACATAATTTTCTTAGCAAACAATATAACATATATTGGTCTTAACACTAAAGACCCAACCTCCCGTCTATTCCATATTTCGATTTCATAATACTTATTGCCAATACACACTTTTATCATAATTAAACTTATTCTTAATATATCTAATTTCGTATATTTACCTTGCAACTATTACTGAAGTTCCTCAAATGCTGCAACAGAATTTAAACTACTATATTTATTTTTCAGATATTCGTTGAAAACCTCCCATTTTGATACAAATTCCTGTTTTGATTTATTCTTTATTTTTTCTGATAGACTATCTAATTCGGCATATTCTGTCAGCTTTTGGATCCAATCTTGTATAGAGGGGATTTCATTACTCTTCCATTTTGCTGTGATCAAAACTCTTGCTGCTGCCGTCGCATATAAAATGATACCCTTCCTCTTTTGCGGAATATCCAAAACTGTTATTCCCAGGAGGTAGGCCTCTGGGTTTTTATTGAAAGAGATCTTTAGCATTTTTTGCAGTTCTACATGGATACTCTCCCAGAATACCTGTATTTTCCTACATATCCACCACATATGGTAGAAAGTTCCTGAGTCTCCGCATCTCCAACAATTACTTGACACATTTTTATACATTTCCGAAAGGGAAAGCTCTTTTCTAATCACCGATACACACACAAAGTCTATACCTCAGAACAAAGTGCCGCGCATCAGGCCCATGGAAGGGTTAGCCAGTGGCCTTGAAAAACTGCATATGTGTGCATGCATATGTGCTTAACTTTCTGAAGCCCAGACTCTGTGTTTGAGACAATATAAAGCTGAAACTTGGGACGGGCATTAAAGATAGGCTATACCAACCTCCCTCGGCCTGGCATCTTTCAGGTGTTGTTAGACTATGACTCCCATTAGTCCTAGCCAGCATGGGATGATGGGAATTGTAGTCCAAAACGTCTAGAGGGCACTGGGTTGGGGAATGCTGGGTTGGACAAAGACCCAAGGCTTAAGCCTAAAAATAAGCAGCTCAGACAACAAATACAGATCGTGGGATGGAGACTAGGTCACAAGAGCAGGAGACAAATCGTCATTTTTATCCTTCTAATCCCAGCCTTGCCCAGTTCTTCTTTTCAAGTGGTATCTTAGCCACAGATTATCCATTATGTTTATAGATGAAGGGGTGCATGCATGCAAGGTGACATCATTTCCCCCGCTTTCGCAGTTGCCGTATTCTGCAATCTTTTGAGCTACACTGAACTCTTCCCCACCTAACCGAGATAGCAGTAGCAAGAAGATCAAAATAAAAAAGTAAAAAAAAGAAATTGGCCAACATGGAATTAATCACTGAGAACTTGGGGGTCACATATAATTCTTACTAAGCAAGAAGGGGACTCATTTTCAGCTATAGAAAGAGCTGAAAGAAAGCAAGGTGATTGAAAAGAACAAGATCAATTTCTGTAGGTGCACTGCAGACATTTCTAGGCCACACAGAACTTTTCAGCAGCCAGAAGAATATATTTTCAATACAGCTACAGTAACAGAAATAGCACAACTGGTTTCTCAGGCAACTATTTCTGGAAGACGACACTTCCGTCTACCTCAAAAACTGGCATATTTATACACCTACAGACACTGGCCTAATAAACTTATCTCTTGGCCTATTAGGTCAACATCTGTTGGTGTATAACTATGCTAAACTTTTAAGTCATTCTCAGCTTTATAGAGAATGGAGTTATCTAAGAATGGTGA